GTGCATCAGGGTTGCATCTGTTCACCATACTTATTCAATCTGTATGCTGAGCAAATAATCTGAAGAGCTGGACTATATGAAGAAGAATGTAGCATCAGGATTGGGGGAATTCATCAACAACCTGCGATGCAGATGACACAACCTTGCTTGCTCAAAGTGAAGAGGACTTGAAGTATTTATTGATGAAGATCAAAGACTACAGCCTTCAGTATAGATTATACTATAAAGAAAACAAAAATCCTCACAACTTGACCAATAAACAACATCATGATAAATGGAGAAAAGATTGATGCTGCTAAGGATTTCATTTCACTTGGATCCACAATCAACCAATGCCCATGGAAGCAGTAGTCAAGAAATCAAATGACGTATTGCATTGGACAAATCTGCTGCAAAAGACCTCTTTAAAGTGTTCAAAAGCAAAGATGTCACTTTAAGGACTAAGGTGCGCTGGACCCAAGCCATGATATTTTCAACTGCCTCATACTCATGTAAAAGCTGGACAATGAATAAGGATGACCAAAGAAGAAGTGACGCATTTGAATTATGGTGTTGGAGAAGAATATTGAATATACCATGGACTGCCAGAAGAACAAACAAGTCTGTCTTGGAAGAAATACAGCCAGAGTGCTCCATAGAAGTGAGGATGGTGAGACTTCGTCTCATGTACTTTGGACGTGTTATGAGGAGGGACCAGTCCCTGGAGAAGGACATCATGCTTGTTAAAGTAGGTCAGTGAAAAAGATGAAGACTCTCGACGAGATGTGACTGCGACAATGGGTTCAAGCAAAACAAAGATTGTGAGAATGTGCAGGACCAGGCAGTGTTTCGTTCTGTTGTACATAGGGTCGCTATGAGTTGGAACGGACTCAGTGGCACCTAACACATAACATACCCTTTCATATTTTATCATCAAAGGATATATAGTTCTTTTGTTTCAGTAAAGAAAAATGCCTCCAGGAAAAACCATCTGCTGTACGAACTGAATGTAAATCTATACTCCTGGGCAAATACACGGCTCTTGTAGTAAGGCGGTGCCCAGCTGTCCTACCTCACTTCCCAGAACCCCAAGTTATCTCATGCCTTGAGGTGCAGGTTCCCTTTTCTTTCATTTCTTTTCCACCATAGCTCTCTGCTTTGCCTTGTAACTCCTACTGTACTCATTCCACTTAGCCTTTGTTTTCATCAGGGAGGCTGAGGTAAGTGCTTGCCAAATGGCATTACTCTATCATGCATTGTTGATCTTCTTCCTCTTTCTCCTCCTTCTCTTTCTTCCTTCCTCTTTTCCCTTCCTTTCCCTTTCATTCCTCCCTGCCTCCCTTCCTCTCTCTCTTCCTTCCTTCTTTTCTTCTTTTTTTCTCCTGGATGTTTGATAGGAACTATGCCGAAACCTGATTGTATAGACTGAATATGAAAAAGATGCAGAGAAGCTCTTAATCTCTTAAAGAAACTTACATATTCTTGCATTTATTTATATAATTATAACTTATATAAAATTATCATTGGGTATATTAATATTGTTTACTTATCTGTCTCCCCTACCTGATTATGAGTAGCATCTGGCAAACAGCAGGGGCTCAATACCCGTTTGTTGTATGGATAAGTGCTGGCAATCCACTATAATTTAATAACAATGTCTCTTACCTCTACATATTCTATTCTTCCGGTTACCATATTAGCACTAGGTACAGGAGCATGAAACATAATGCAGCCTCCAAACTGGTCACTTCCTATTTCTTCTCCAAACTTTCCTTGAAGACATGTCTGTGTAGCAAATTCACCTTTAAAAATATTTTTGAAAGCATTATAAAAGAAAAAACACTTCATAATCTTCTTATTATAAAATGAATATTTTTTCTCATCTTGACTTAATTGTATCTTTTTATTCGCATATTATTTCAATCTCATCCTTTATCTAAGTACAAGAAGAAAAAGAAAGGAAGGGAAAAAGGCAAAATTAAGGTATTTATTCCCCTGGATCTCTCCCTGTGATAGAAGGCTCTCGGTGGGCTCCTGCCTTCCTCTACCAAAGGGTACAACTTCTGTCAGGCGGCCCTCTTCATACAGCTCTCTCTGTCTCTGGGTTAACATAACCATTCCTTCCCCTCACCAACTCAGGCCTAGCTATGGTAACAGTATCTTGCTTCTACTTGCCCTTTGAAGAGCTCTGTGGTGACTATTCTCTGGGGGCCAGAGATGCTAGTGGAGGATGCTGCAATGGAGTTGGGTTCCTTGATCTCAGTGGGAAAAACGGGAACCCAAAGTGGTAGAATCCAGGAGATGGCCTTAACCATAAGATATAAAAACCTCAGTTGTTGTCGAGTCAACTCAAACTCACGGCAACCCTACGTGTGTCAAGGTAGAACTGTACTCCATAGGGTTTTCAGTGGCTGATTGTTCAGAAGTAGAGAGCCAGACCTTTCTTCTGAGATGCCTTTGGGTAGACTCCAACCACCAACTCTTCCTTACTTAGCCACTGTTCTGTAGTTGGACTTACAGGTTGTTTCCAAGTTTTTCTGACATTGTAAAGAATATTATAATGAATATCTTTCTTTATTTGTATGTATGGATTTTGTGAATTTCTGATTATTTCCTTAAGATAAATTCCCAAGAGAGAATGTCTAGATCAGAGTACATAAACAATTTCAGGATTCTTGATACATAATGTCAAATTCCAAAAACCAAAAAACCCATTGCCGTCGAGTCTATTCCGACTCAGTGTCAAATTACTCTCCATCAATTCACACTCAGATATCAAAACATTCACACACTGCAAATATCATCATTATACCCATTTCACTTCACCTTGGCAAACACAGAATATTTTGAATTTATGTTTGTTAATTTTATAACTGAAAACTAGTATCTACCTATTGCTTTGAGTTGTTTTTCTTTTTTCTCTAGAAATCTCAAACATGTCCCCTGGTTCCTCAGTTATTATAGTAGATTATATCATAACTGATGGTTTATATGTCACTCTTCCTATGTAAACTGAAATTCTTGAGGGTAGTGATTGTATCTGCTTCATCATTAAATTTCCAGCTTTTAACAAGTGTCCAGACATGGGAGTAGCTCAGTAAGTATAGATGAATTATTTAGGTGAAATAGGAGTTTTCTTTTCATGTTCTTTGCCCATTAATCTATTGGATACTAGTACTTTTCTTATTGATTTACGTAATAGTTTAGAAAGATGGTTAATCTTTGGCCGTCATATTTACCATGAGTATTTTTCTCATTTTGTTATTTACTTTTATACCTTCTAGTTCTTTTGAAAACTTTATAGACTTTAGCATAGTTCTGTGCACAAATGTAACACTTGGAAAATAATTATTCAGTTAAATTGAAATGCATTTGTAAAATTTTTTGTTACTCTAAGGAAAAGTAAAATCGTATCTATAAATTCATCTTCAGAATGTTGTATGTCATAAAAATATTTTTCTGTCTTAAAAAATAAAGTGTTTAAAATGGAGTAAAATAAATATGCCAAAAATATGTAATATCTATTTATATGAAGTTTGACAATTTTTGTTAACATTTTTGCAGACACAGTCAACAAGAGAATGAAAAAAGGACCATCGCATCTGTATCTGCTGATGGCATAAACATAACGCTTACCAACCCACTGAATTATACACACTTAGGAATCACTGTCACACTCCCTGATGGAACTTTATTTGAAGCAAGAGCAGAAGTTGGAATTCTTACAAGAAATATCTTAATAAAAGGATCTAGTAATATAGAGTGGAATGACAAAATTCCAGCATGTCCTGATGGATTTGACACAGGTAATTTTAGCAGCAATAGTGTGCTACAAATGTGCAGAATTTATTTGGCTTATGTTGAGATACAAGATTTTAATTTCAAACTGCAAGTTACTGTCTTATAAGTATAATTAAATGTTGAAAATGTGAAATGCTAATGGTGTTTTTAAGGAGGGGTTCTGGGTCTATGAATTGGCTTGGGTCTAGGAAATAAGTAAGAAGCAGCAAATTTCCACTTGGGCAACTTGAGTTAGATTTTTGTCCCCCAAGACCTATATGATTTTTCTGCTTATGTATATGCCAAAGAGCACCATAGTGTGTTACCCATCCATTTCAGTTTTTGGAACCACAATACCAGTCAGCTATCACCATAGATCACTGCCAGTCAAAACACTTTGATTATCCCTCTGACCTGTAATTAGTGTGGCAATTAAGCCTACCTTTATATCTGATGGAGTCCCTTGGTGGTGCAAAAGATTAACGCACCAGACTGTAACTGAAAGGTTGGTGGTTGGAGTCTACCCAAAGGCATCTCGGAAGAAAGGTCTGGCTCTCTAATTCTGAACAATCAGCCACTGAAAACCCTATGGAGCACAGTTCTACTCTGACACAGATAGGGTTGCCATGAGTTTGAGCTGACTCGATAACAACTGAGGTTTTTATATCTGATGGTTAAGGCCACCTCCTGGATTCTCCCACTTTGGGTTCCCATTTTTCCCACTGAGATCAGGGAACCCAACTCCATTGCAGCATCCTCCACTAGCATCTCCGGCCCCCAGAGAATAGTCACCACAGAGCTCTTCAAAGGGCTAGTAAAAGCAAGATACTGTTACCATAGCTAGGCCTGAGTTGGTGAGGGGAAGGAATGGTTATGTTAACCCAGAGACAGAGAGAGCTGTATGAAGAGGGCCGCCTGACAGAAGTTGTACCCTTTGGCAAAGGAAAGCAGGAGCCCACCGAGAGCCTTCTACCACAGGGAGAGATCCAGGAGAATAAATACCTTAATTTTGCCTTTTTCCCTCCCTTTCTTCTTCTTCTTGTACTTAGATAAAGGATGAGATTGAAATAATATGCGAATAAAAAGATACAATTAAGTCAAGATGAGAAAAAATATTCATTTTATAATAAGAAGATTATGAAGTGTTTTTTCTTTTATAATGCTTTCAAAAATATTTTTAAAGGTGAATTTGCTACACAGACATGTCTTCAAGGAAAGTTTGGAGAAGAAATAGGAAGTGACCAGTTTGGAGGCTGCATTATGTTTCATGCTCCTGTACCTAGTGCTAATACGGTAACCGGAAGAATAGAATATGTAGAGGTAAGAGACATTGTTATTAAACTATAGTGGTTTCCCAATGGCAATTAAAACAACAACAACAAATAGTTGTTAAATTAATAAATGAAATGAATGGTCACAAATCAAATGATTAAGAGAACGAAGAGGAATAGTAAATACAGATTCTTACAGGAAGTCTGAGGTGGGAGGTATCAAAATAAGGTATAGAGGTTGGGAAAGTTTTCAGAGTAGGACTAGCATTCAAGTGAGATCCCAAGCAGCCAGATCTCTCTGTTGGAAAAGATAGTGTCGGGAGACACTGCAAATAGAACTCAGGGGCACACAGGCTTCAAAAAAGCAAAGACCTGCATTTAGAAGGATACAAAGTTGATATGAAGGGTATATATATTCATTTATAACTTTGAGGATCACACCAAGAAGCCTAATTTTAGGTTAGCGGTTCTCAACTGAGAGTGATTTACTCCCCTATGGGATATTTGGCAAGGACGGTAGACAATTTTGTTGTCACAACTGAGGTACTACTGATATCTAATGCTGCTAAGCATTCTACAACGCACACCACAAAAAGTGTTGTTTTTAATTGCCTTTGAGTCAGCTCCCAAATCATGGAGAACCATGCACAAAGGAGCAAAACGCTGCCAGTCTTGTGCCATCCCTATGATTGGTTGTGGATCGATAGGGTTTTCATTGGCTGATTTTCAAAAGTAGATCACCAGGCCTTGCTTCCTAGTAGTCTATCTTAGATGAAAGTGCCGATGAAACCTGAAACATGAAAGCCTCCCCTGACAGATGGGTGAGGGTTGCACGTAAGGTGAATTGTCTGGCAATCAAAGTGGGTCTCCCATCAGGAAGGTGAGAATTCCAGCACTGCCCCCCAACAAAAAATTTTCTGGTCTAAAATGTCATTAGCGCCAAGGTTGAGAAACCCTGACAAGAGGAAGCCAATAGAGGTTCATGAGCGGGAAAATAAATGATTAGCAAGTGTCCCTAACTTTAAAGAGACAGGTGTATCAATGTCTGATTGCATATTATCTACTAAACAGAGGTGGGCTTAATGGGGTTACTACAGTGCCTCCCTGACATTCCCTTTTGACTCTTTTCTCCTTCGGCAAATTCTTTTCATTCTTTAATGCCAATTTAAATGACCTGTGAAATAGATTAAAAGTCACCTCTCTGAAGTTTCCCAACCTTTCCTTTGAATTCCAAATACACTTTGCGTAATCCCTTAGCATCGTATCCACCACCTTGCAGTCCTATCACTTACCTACTTTAATGTCTCTTCCACTAGTTTGTTCCTCTATGAAAGGGAACCTGCTTGATCATTTTGTATGCTGAGCACTTAGAACAATGCCTGTCACAACTCAGTAGCTGTTTTTGATTGACTAATCAAATTAATGCAGAATGAATTAGTGTGGGGAAGTTAAGTAGAGGAATGGAGCCCAAACAGGAAGCTGATGTAATATTCCAAACATGAGTGGCTGAGGGTCTAAATTAAACTGAGGGAAAGGAAAGCTGATGGAACAGACATTTCAAGGGCCAGGACCAAAAGAACGTGGTGATGTGCAGAAGTGAAGAAAGGTGATAATTAGGTCACTGGGAAAGTTTTTATGAAATAGAGGGAAAAAAATAAAAAAAAGAAAGTAGCCAGATGGAGACAGGGGACCAAACGAAGTTGTTTTTAAAGATAGTGGGTGGATGGGAAGGCCTTTAAAGGGAGGAGATTAAGGATGCTAGAGATAGGGGTGAGTCCACAGTAAAAGACTGCACAAGAGGTATGATGAAGGAGTTCAGGTTGGCCTGTCCTGAATTCCCTTGGATTCAGATGATACAGTAATTTCTTCAGAAAAAGGCTCTTAAAATAATTTTTGTGTGTTGTGTACACCTAAATACACCTTTTCTTTTTTCTTAAATTACTTAACACTTACATAGCACTTATTTGGAGCCACGTTCTGCTCTTGGTGATTTACACATACTAATTCATTTAATCCTTACAATAATTCTATGAAATAGATGCTAATATCATTCGAATTTTACTGACGTATAGAGCAGTGAAATAACATGGTCACAGAACTGGTAAGTGGTATTGCTAGGAGTTGGACTCAGGCTGACTTTAGAAGTCCTTTTCTTAAAGACTTGCTTTACAAATTCTCAGATAGGGTTTATCAGAGAAATAGAGAACAATGAGTTAGATTTGGTTAACTAACTCTTAATTTATGTTTCTTAAAACGAAATGCTAAAGTCTAAATTTACTCTTCTATTTCATATAAGAAGCTAAAAAAGGATTTTTTTTTTTTCTATTCTGTTAGTAAGCCCTTTCATTTTGCAGCTTTTTGATTTTGCCATTATACAATTAAGATTTCTTCCAAGGGCAGGAAAAAACAGGGACTTAGAAAGCTAAGTATATATTTAACTCTTCCTAACATCTGCAGGTCTATTTTTAACTTGGAAAATGGCAAAACTCAAAATGCCATCTTGGATTTTAATTTTAAATTGAGTCATGGCCTTAATACAATTTAGTTCTTTCCTGTCATAAAACTACTACTTATTCCCTGATAAGCAAAACCATATCCAATTTTATTATTACATATAATTTGAACATTAAAGTGAAAATAAGGCTCCTCTTGCTGTTTTTCTTTCTCCCTTGATATACTTGGTGTAGTTTTATTAGTTTTCTTCCTTTTATTTCTTATTTGCTAAAATAAATAATTAAACAGAAAATAAGAGTTATGAGCAGTTTTAATTTTGAAATGTCAGGGGTCTCAAAGGTCACGTTAATCATCACTCATTCTATAATGATTTCTTCCCTTTTATTCAATCATTACTAACAATTTTGCTGCGCTCTGTGGGAACCACTGCTAAGAGTATAAGAATTTAGCAGCTGCTTTCAGCCAAATTCTTTGATGACCTCAAACAAAGAATATCATTTACATTTTTGCATGCATTCATATATTTAGTTAGAGCTGTAAACCAGAGATTTTCAAGTGATTTTTAGCAGCACAATGCTTTTTTCAAATGAAATCTTACATGGGAAACTAGCCATGTAAAATAGATAAAATATTTTATTAGTACACATTTATTTTATAGGTTCAATTTTATGGTTTTTCTTTTGAGTTCAATCAATGAAGATCCAACACACTCGTGATCAACCAAATGTTAACATTTGGCAAATATGTATTTGCGTGCATTAGAGGTTTCAGAATGAGAGAAAATGAAATAGATCAGTCGTGCCTCTGACTCGTACTCATATTACACAGTTTAAAAATCTCTGCCCTAGATCAAAATCATAAAGCTTGGGAGACATCATACCTGTGTCCTGTACTTGCAATTACAATGTCATCTCCTGCTTTCCACGCTACAGCTTCTTGTAAAACCAAAGTCCTTTCCCCTGCCTTGGCAGTCTGAGCCAAACGAGTCCAGATCACAGGAACAGGCAGACCTGGAACCCATCATGCAAACTGAGTATTTCTTCAGATTACTGAGCACTTTATGCATTTTAATGTTGTCCTGGATTGAATATATTTTGGGAAGATGCGTTTTACCTTAGCATTTTGTATCTTTCTTAGAAAGGTATATATTCTAGCTATGTAGAAGTAAAAATTATGTTTTTAATAACGTATGGTTCTATAAAATTAAAAAAATCCTTCTGCAAAGATATACTGCATTTGTGACAGTTTGATTTACAATAATAATATAAATGCTGTGTGATAATATTAATAAAATGGATGGAGACCTATTATCTTTGTCACTATTGACAGGAATTGCATAAACTGATGATCTAGAGGCAAATGAAATGTGTAAGTTCCTAAGGAATTAAAGTCATATAAATATGTTTAGCCCAATGCAGGACATCTATGATGATATAGTATAGTATCATGCTTGTGACATTCTAAACTTATAAAAGTGACACATTATTGTAATATAGAAGACTTCCTCAATATAAAAAGGATTCACACCTTGCTTCCTTTAAATAGGAAGTTCTCCTAGTTCCTCAACTATGGTCAAATCATTTTTATTTGCTGATAATTTTCCAGAGTTATGTTTAAAGAAAGGTATAACTATAAATGCTATTTTTTAGGAAGAGCCCATTTTCAGATACAAATGTAAGAAATTACAAATTTCTGCTTCCAGATTTAGTGCTTTTTTATATGGCTAAATGAATGAAGTAAACAGATGTAACAATTTCCTGAGAAAGTGCTAAATTAGACAAAAGGTGTTATGGGTGTAGAGAAGGCTCAAGAAGGATTCCCAGCAGTGAAGAGTATGAAGGGGCTGGCCCGGCGTGGAAGGGGCAGGGAGAGGTAAGGACAAGTGGAGAAGGAATATACAAAGACATGAAAAAGTCTGGCAAGTGCTCATTTAGAGAGTATTATCAGGACGATCATCTCTGGTTTCGTGGCTAATTTCTCCTCTACTGGCTCCCTGAACACTGGCCGCTGTACCATACCATGCAGATCGAGGACTCCCTCTCGCACGGCCAGCGTTTTGGCACCATACACAGGCAGCTCAGGAGACCGCAGATGCCCGTGCAAGGTAATGATGGCCTTGTGTTGAAATGGAGATGCTTCAGTCCCAATCTGAAAGAGATTTCACAAGCGCCATTCGGGAAATAACAACCCAATACGCACAATTCTCAACCTTCTTTCCTTTTTTCCTCTCACTTTTGAGAATTGATTCTTCAATTGTTCAGTATCTTTCTCCCAAAAGATACATCTTAAATTTTCTAGTCAGCCAAATACACTATTCCAACTTTCAGAAAGTGTATCTATTAGCCACATGAGAGAGCTAATTTTTTCTGCTCTATTTTTTAACTCTGTCCTGTGATAACACACTAATATCTTCCCATTCAAAGATCAAGAATACTCTAAGAAACTTTTCCCCATCAAAAAGATTTTATACTAACAGAAACCTAAGCAAAGATAAACTTGGGAGAGTTTGATATAACAAACTATTCATTTTACGCATTATTGTTCTTACTGCATGCCATTGAGTTGATTCTGACTCACAGTGGCCCTATAAAACAGGGTAGAACTGCCTCATGAAGTTTCCTAGGCTGAAATCTTTATGGGAGCAGATCATCAGGTCTTTTCTCCTAAGGAGTGGCTGCTGGGTTCAAGCTCCCAACCTTTCAGTTAGCAGCCAAGCACTTAACCATTGTGCCACCAAAGCTCTTTAGTTTACAAATAGTATTTAAATAAGAAATGTAGAAAAGTTAGCAATGAATAGATATCAAATTCTCTCATATACCTGAAGAATGCCTCCATCTGTAATTAGGATATTTTCTGCGTGAAGTTCAATGTCAGCTTCATCAAATATCAGAGTTCCACCTATAAACCATACAATTTTTAAATATATCATGAGGAAAGGTATTGTTAAAAGTTACCAATAAATTATAGATTAAAATTTATTTTCTCATTCGTGTCCTGCTATCGCTATGCATATAACTTCATCTCTTTGGTAACATAAAAGTTTAAAAACTTTAAGCAAGACCCAGACAACTGAGAGAAAACCTTGGGGTGGAGGCTTTTGTTTTAACCCTGTATATTTAAATGCTATTAAGTAGTACAGCTATACAAATTATAGTTCTACAAACTGAGGGCCTCAAAATATAAATTAAGAATGAAAACAATTAGAATTAAAGACAAAATTTTTATAGAAACCACTATAATGCCAACATTTGCTTTGACCTTTTATCCTATAATTTGCACTATCAACGATTATATCATGATTGGCATTATTAAAAATGTACCATAAAACTTTTTATGAGACTGATGTACATTTGCAGACAATAACATTTTACTTGTCTAAAGGTCTAGTATTTAATAACTTCAAATATCTACAACACTGCTGTTAACCTAAAAGTTAAAAACAAAATGCAAAGGTCCTTGAGCAACTAAAATCATTTTGGCAAAGTTTATGCACTAAAGCCCCAAGTACTGTACTTTTGCCAATTGATGTTTCTTTTACTTGCAGTTGAAACAGTTTTGGTTATTTGGTTTGCTATCTTAAAAACAGAATATCAAGGAGCAGAGAGAATCCCACATAACAATCCAAAGCAGGTTCATCTCAAAGATGAGAATCACAACCTGACATTCAAGGGGGAGTCAGAAGGGTCATTTAGGATAGAATTTGACAAATCTCTATGATTTTATAGCCCCTAGGATCCACTATATCAGTGTTTTTCTAAGTGGAGAATACTTTTTACAGTGATAAAGTGCATGGTCGTGCTTGCATACACATTGTTATTGAAATGAAAGTTTCATGAAGCAACATTTAACTTTAAAAGATACTTACCCATATTATATAAGATATTGGGCAAAATACTTTCTATTCTAATGACAAATGGATTTAAATACTCAATTTAAAAAAAACCTCTGTATTGCACTCTATATTATAAACATGATACAACTAACGAAGTTCATAACCACACATTTTGATTAGATTAACTTCACAGAAAGATTCAATAGGCAGACTCTAATTCACAGATTTCAGAAATTTACCCTGAATAAGCAACATTTTCAGAATAGGGGTACTCTGATCCAGCAAAATTGTCTGTCCTTTGGTAATAACAACAAGTGACCCTTCTTTGGGAGGAGATTTTCCTCCCCAGGAGAAGTTGGAAGACCAAGTATCAACGTATAAGAACTCAGCATTATCCTGTAATAAAACATGAGAGACTTTTAAGCTTAGAGGTTTCAGAAGAATTCTTTACTCAATCTCTCCGAAAAAGAAATCTGAAATGATAAACGTTTTTAGCAATAATTAACAAAATATAACCTACTCTGAATATATTATAACCATCTCTTCATTTAATTCAAGATATTAATAAAGCAAAAAATACATTGCCAATTACGCCAAAACCTGGAATAATAATTAAAATATGAAATAAAAAATTTTTTTAGTAATAAGCAACAAAACCATAACTCGAACGAATAACCCGTTGCTGTCAAGTCAATTCCAACTCATAGGGACCCTATACAGACCCTATCGGACAGAGCAGAACTGCCTCATAGGGTTTCCAAGGAGTGGCTGGTGGATTCAAACTGCCAACCTTTTGGTCAGCAGCCAAGCTCTTAACCACTGCACCACCAGGGCTCCATAGCTACTTTAAATTTATTAGTGTCACCTGAGGTTTTTTTTGGAGGTGCTAAAGAATAAGAGCTCTGGTGGCACAGTGGTTAAGTGCTCGGCTGCTAAATGAGAGATTGGCAGTTCAAGCTCACCAGCTGCTCTACCAGAAAGAGAAAGATGTGGCAATCTGCTTCTGTAAAGATTTACAGTCTTGGAAACCCTATAGGGCAGCTCTACCCCATCCTATAGGGTTGCTATGAGTCAGAATCGACTCGAAGGTAGTGTTTTTTTTTTTTTAAGTAAAAAATAAAAAATCTATTACCAATTACCCCACCTCTCATAATGCTAACTTTTCTATTGTTGTGATTACTATACCAGTTTGGCCATGCCAACACTTCTGATGCGGACATGAACTGGAGCCCATCCTGAAGGAGCATGGGCATTTGTCATGCAGATAATGTGTGTCTTGTTGGAATATACAACATCACATTTGGCTTCAGCTATGGTGACGTGAACATCCTGCGTATCTTCACTGTAAGGAAAAAGGGAAAAAACCAAAACATTAATATTTTTTCAAATTTCTGGTCATATCATCAAATCCTTTATTTATATGTTACTGCAAAAATAATTATCTTACCCTATGATCCATAAGAATGCAAACTGTCAGTACTGTGACTTCCAAATATTTGTTGAGAAAAAGTAAACAAAGAGATTAAGAGACCAAAAATAGGATTGTACTTTTTTTTTTGGTGCTTCTTTTCCTGGTGGTACAGTGGCTAAAAGCTCAGCTGCTAACCAAAAGGTCAGCAGTTCAAAATTACCAGCTGCTCCTTGGAAACTCTATGGAGCAGTTCTACTCTGTCCTATAGGGTCACTATGAGTTGGAATCGACTCAACTTAATGGGTTTCGTTCTTTTTTTTTTTTTTTCAGTCTTTCCCTCTGGTAGTTTGTATTTATGAATGGACTCAAAATGTAACCTAGAAAATTTAACTACTCATATTCTAGCTTCTTGGTTAAAAGGTTTAATTGGGGGAGTCATACAAAATTATTTGATAAAGTGATGCCCCTTGAGCTTTAGTTATCCATATATGCATTTCACTAGCATGACCACAATTTTGCTATATGAAGTTGTTTCGTGCTGTTTATCAGCAGAAGAAAGAATGGCAGACTTAATGCTTTTCTAGAGCATGAAGGAATGCTGAGTGATTGAGCTATCCATTTTGATTCTAAAGCAGTTAAACTAAAGTGGAAAATAACTTAAAATACAGCAGGTAAGAAATTTAATTATAGAAAATATGAGACTGAAAAGTGCTCTGAAAGATGATGGCAACAATTTTACACTGGTGAGTCTTAATGTTTGAAAAGTAGTAAAATTACTTTGAATTTCTTTCTTCTTTTTTATGATTCCAAATTTGCTATGGCTTTTGAACATTTTCACCAGGCAAGTGTGGTTATTTTCGATTATTCATGTATTTAAAAATTTTTATTACTCACCTACTCTGGGTCAGAGCCCTGGTGCCACAGCGGTTAAGCCCTACGGCTGCTAACCAAAAGGTCGGCAGTTCGAATCTACCAGCTGCTCCTTGGAAGGAAACCCTATGGGGCACTTCTACTCTGTCCTTTAGGGTTGCTATAAGTTGGAATTTACTCGATGGACTCTGGGTCAGAACTATTTTTAAAACAAAACTGAAATAAGTTTATTTAAAATTAATCTGGAAGAGTATTGCCCATGAGTACAGCAAGCGGCATGGCTCACTGAATGATATATTAAAAAGCAGAAGGGGGACAACAAGATTACTCCAAACAGAGAGAAATATTTTTCTCATAGCTTTCCGTAGATTCAGGAAAAAGAAGGCAGTATTTCATCCACTTGATAACTAACATTTTGGCAGTTTGCAAGACCATACAGCTTCTTGAAGTGGGGTATAAGTAGAGCCGAACTAAAAGTCCTGTTTTTTTTTCTTTTTAGAAAAATGCTGTGATTTTAAAAGCCCAGCTATATTAAAAAAAACTCAAAATAGTGGGAAGAATACAATCATACAATCCCATCATAAGAGCCTTTAACTTGGGAAGATTCAACATGTTTATCATAGGAAAAAAGAAAAAGAGAAAAAATAATCATTAAAATAACCCAAGTCAAGCAATTCTATGTTGTACTCAATGAGAATGTGTCCTAGAGTGGCCTTTGGGTGGGAGATGTGAATCTCTAGACTCTATTTCCATTCCCATGTGCTTCTCAATCTCACAGTGCTGACTGTGATTCAGATTTTTAACTATACATTTTTTTATACATAACGTCCCTAAATACAGGACAAATACAGGACAACTTCATCTGGTGCTTCCTGTACCCCACTGACTAGTCCTCCTTAGACAGCTTTGCTAGTTTCTCATCTCCTCAATGTCTAAATGCTGAGATGCCCCAGCTCGGTCTTTAGAACTCTTCTCTATCTCATCCAATCTCATGGCTTTAAATAACATCTACAAAATTAAGATCTCCAGTGTGAACTCCAGATTTATGTATAGAGCTGCCTATCTTGACCCTTTCCCAAAACTGCACCCTCACAATCCTTCCCATCTCCATAAATGAGAACTCCATCCTTTATCTCAGGTCAAAAGCCTTAGCATCCTTGGCTCCTCTCTATCTCTCATTGCCACACTCAATCAATCAGCAACTCCCGTTGATTCTACATTCAGATATGTCCTCTACCTTCCTAACACCTCCACTGCCACCACCCTTGTTGAAGTCACCATGATCTTGCATCCAGATTATTTCTGTAACCCCTAAGTGGCCTCAATGCCTCTGCAATTGCCTCCAAAAAGTCTATTCTCAACAGAGGGAAACATTAAAAATATATGTCAGGTCACATCACACCTTTGCTGGAAATCCTGAAATGATCCCATCACACTCAGGGTGGAAATCAGTGTTTACAAGGGCCTGTAAGGCCCTTTACCATCTGGTTTCATCTTTCCACTTCTATCTCCTAACATCCTTCTTCTCCCTCAATACTCTCCAGCCACACTGGCTGCCTTCTTATTCTTCAAACACTCCAACCTTGCTCCACCTCAGTGCCTTTGCACTAGCTGATCCCTCTGCCAGGAATGCCTTTCTCCTCATAACCATGTTGCTTCCTCTGCCCTTTCATCAGTTCTTTGCCTAAAAGTCTCCTTCATGGGCCCTCTCATATGCACTCTGTTTAAACTTTAATTCTCCCTCCCCACTCAACATTCTCTGCCTTGCTTTTCTGCTTTTTTTTCTTTATTGTACATATCACACTCTTTCTTACAATGTATTTTATTTATTTTATGTTTTTCACCTTCTGCTCAAATATAAGCTTCACGAAGGTAGGATTTTTTTTAATGTACTTGCTTATTGGTGTACTCCATCACATAGAACTTCTAGTACATAGTAGGTACCCAGCAAATACTTGTATAATTAAAGAAATAAGATGTTCCAGTGTTGGAGGAAACACTCCCTGGGTTCAATTTATTGAGAGATGTTACCTTGGTCTTCAAATAGGTATCTTTGTAAGAGACTTTCAAGAATTATTTTGTCTATGTGATAATTTTCACCACATTCACAGACTTTAGAACTTAACCTTCACATAAAAATGCAACTCTAAGACAATTATAAGTACTTGAATAATTAAAATATCCTTTTATGGTTTAAATCATTTGGTGTTTTGAAGTCAGTCTTAGTCACTTGGAAGAATGATGATAGTGCAATATGTAAAGTTAGCCAAATAATGAGTATGAGAAAAAGGAAGCTGACAAATTACAATGGAATGGACCTGATGCATAAAAAGATGTTTCAGTGACCTAAGGAAGCAGATCATGGTTGGAGATGAGATGCTGGGGAAAGTATAACAAGAAGCTGATTTAAACTTGTGATACTACTTACAAGTTATTTAATCTCTCTAATCTTAGTCTCCTAACCATCAAATGGGATAAAAAATATCTCATAAGGTAAGGCAGAAAGTTTCCGTGGGTAGGAAGGTAACTGGCACAGTAAGTACTCAATAAATGTTAACTATTAGTACTGTTACATACCCTAGATGTGACTTGCTAGCAGATGAGTACACATTACATGACTATATTTAAGCAATGTCTGGCACAAGAGAAAGAGTAATGGCTTGAGTCTGGACATAAGCATTGACATGTTTGCACATGAAGACAGTACCTGAATCCTGATCCCATGACTGTAAGTCTGGTGCCCCCTGCTGTACTGCCTCTCTTGGGAGCTATTTTGGTGATGAGTGGAGTCAGTGACACATTGTACATAAATGAAGTCGTGGACTGTGATAAATTCTTCCCATTGACCACAGTCACTTCACAGGCTTGCTCGGGTCCACTGCCTACAGTAACAGGATCAAATAGAATACAGCTTTACAGTCCTACCATCAGGCCCATATTCCTCTCCAAAATCTCAAAAGTTTTCAATAACATCTTCCTCTTCCAGCAATCACTTTGTGTACTTAAAGTAATAGAGATCTCTGGCAATAGCCAAAAAATTCAGAGTTCTTTGGTACTATCAAAGGGTAGAAATCTTAGACCCTCACTTGAAGCTCATTATTGCAGATAATTCTATAAATCTGCCTGTTTAGTTTTCCAGGCTCAGAGGATCCACCATAGTAAATTAGAGCAGGAAGGACTTTAAAGGCAAACACACTGACAACAGCCAGGAGTGACAACTAAAAGCAAGTTAAGAGACCCCCCCAAAAAAAGAAACTATAGAAATGGATGCAAAAACTTAAAAACAAGAAGCATAGCCAGTGTTAAACAGACAACCTAAAAACCTCCACAAATATTGAGAGCACTGTTGAATTTTATATCAGGATACAAAATCTAGTGTTCAAACGAAAAATCAAGCCCAATCATAAGGAGGTTACATTTTATTCAATATCTATTTTTGTTTAGGAAATTAGAGAAAAAATTAAAAATATTTAGAAAGTTTCATCAAGTTTTGTTAACGTTTTTAAAAATGTTTGCACATAAAACATATCCTTCATTTACCTAGAATAATCATTTTGGATAAATACTTCTTGATGATAAGTTTTTAGATAATAACTCCATTTTTCAAGTACTCAGAGTACCAGATATTTAAATTTCATAACAGCCCACTGAATTACAAGTTAGTAATATCTCTATTTAACCAATGGGAAAACTGAAGCACGGCAGTGTTAAACCTAAGGAGATATAGTACATGGCAAAATGGAGATTCAGAAACTCCTCAAAGCCCAGGCTCTTAGCCACTAAATAAAAATAAATACATAAAAGTAACAATAATTGCAAACCACATATCATGTACCAGATTCATTGCATCCACCTTACAGTCATTAACTTATTAAACCTCACAATAATCCTATAAAGTAGGCTACTCTGATTATCTTAACTTTACAGATGAGGAAACTGAAGCACAGAGAAGTTAAATAAATTGCCCCCCAACAAAAAGCTAGGTTTTAAATCTTGGCAATGTGCTACCAAGGTCCACACTCTTAAACAATACACTATTTCACCTTTAAGGAAAATCTAATATTCCAATAGGATAAAAATATGTTGACCCTTTGACATGGTTAATATACTAAGGTCATCAGTTTACGTGATAAACTGAAAAAATGCATTCTATTATAAGCAATTTAATCTAACCCAAATTTTATGACTCTCAAAAGACATATAAACCTAGAAAACAAAGTTCTGAAGAAATTACTTAAAATCAAGACAAAGTGATTCAATTGCCTCAAAGAATTTAAAAATTTCAAAAAAGAAATTCATATTTTGATCTGTATAAAATTAGCCATTTCTCACAGACTGCTGTTCTCTTTTCTGAAAACTTACCATTATTCGGTGGAATTTTACATAATAAGGTTGTGTAATCAGATCTAAGCCTATCAATTGCACATTCTGAGTCGCACACTAATATAACTGAATTTTGTGGATTAAACCCAGCGCCTGTCATAGTCATGGTTTGACCTCCACCAAAGCTCCCTAGTGAAGACAAGTAAAAGGAGAAAACAAAGCTAATTAAAAAAATCTCCTCTGTGTACATATTTGCTTAACTTTATTTTAAAACCTGAAACGGAAGTTACATTAAATAAAAAGGTTCTTAAAATTAAAATATTATATATACAATGTATCATAATTATTATGTTAAATTATAACATAATATGTATTAGACATATAACATTTATAGAATCTCTTTTGATTGTAGTATTTTAAAATCAACATTGAATAAATGTCACATTTGCTCATCTATTTAAATTACATCTAGAATTCAAATTTCATTTAAAGAGATGTCACAAAGAATTTCAGAGTAGTCAAAATATAAATGTAAAATTTCAATTTTAATTAAGGGATACATTAGTTTTATTTTCCTAAGGTTTTTTAGCCATTCAAATAATTTTCATATAGAAAAAATACTTATTTATGTAGAAATAGTTATATAACAATGATGTCTAAACACAATTTTTAAAAACTTTCACATAATCTGGATATTTTAAGCAGGGCTAAATTTTAAACAAATTATACAGCACTAAGAAAAATATAAGGCACTAAACTAATATTTTAAAATGATTTAAAAGATAACCTTGCCTGCCTATTTATTTCTGCATGAAGAAAATTATTTTTAAACGTGATATACAAATGTAGCAGTATTTGAAGAAAAAAATTTTTTTTTCTAAATGAGATAAATGTTTAATGAAACAAAAGATCTGTAGGTTCCTAAATATTCATGACTACCTTGGCTTGGATGAATACTTTGAATAGTAAGTGGGTACTCAAATACAACTGTGGACACAGCAAAGCCTTTTGTCTGATGGTGCATTGTAACAGGAAAAATGCCACCAGCATGCTCTCCAACGACGCAATTCAATACACTATCATTGACCATGGTTACATTACACCGAACATTATTAATCAGCACTGAAACTTCCAAGTCATCAATACCAAAATTAAATCCAGTGATCTGAATTTCAGTTCCTGGTGGACCTAAAAGATAAAAACAAACAAACAAACAAACAAAACCAGTATAAATATATCTAAATCCCTATACTGACTCATGCATTTAAAGATATATTTATTTCTATAAATAATATAATATCCAGTGTTTTAAACTAATATAATGTTACCGATACATGTATATCATTCACATTTGAGTACAATACACATTACAGTCTACTGTATTAACTAGAAATGATTTATCTCAAAATTAATTATTTTTCAGCCCTTCTCTCGATTCTATGGGTTGTAAACCACTAACTCAGGATAGTAGAGGTGTATAGAGGAGAGAAGAGAGAAGTTCTAAAGTTAAGAAGCATAAATGTCTGAGCTGGGTATGTTTGTATAGGGAGTATATTTTGAGGATAGGGCTTACTATTTTTTACTCTTGGTACTTTATTGATGTTGCATCTCATTTGAGGATGGACTACATTATCTTAATTCTTTACAGTACACTTGCCTCTCAAGAATTCTTTACATAGATGATAAGGATTCCAATAACTTTAAGACGATCAGAAACAGCATAACATAACGACAAGAGACCAAGGAAAATATCTTGATATAGTCTTAGCGTAAAAAATGGGTCATGCTAAACAAATAAGTAAATCTTAGTTTACAATATTTTCTCCATTTGAATATTCTGATTACTTCCTTAAAAAGAAGTCTGTTGTCTTAATAAGGTAATAATCAATCAATTGGAGTTTCATGGAAATACGGTACTCTAAAAAATTCTCAATATTAATAAGATGAACTACATGTGACTTTTAACATGTTTCTTGTGTTGTATCATTATATGACATAAATTATAATTTTAATTCATACATATTCATCTATTTTTTCCTCAGATTGAAATTTAGATCAAGTTGATGGGAATTTGGGTCCTACATAGGAATTGAGAATTTGGCTAAAAGTTTTATCCAGAAAATGTCCAAAAATAATCACAAAATAGAAACTATGCAGAATTTGAATCACATGAGTTAATTGGGTTAGATGGGATTGTTTAAAAAGACATCTTACTAGTCATTTATGAACGTTATTCCAATTCAATACTATTAAATATTACTGATAATAAGATCTCAAGGCAATACAAAGGTAGATAATGGAGTACCTCTACTTGGGACAATTCCTAGAAGAAATGGAGTATCCTCCAGGGCATATGTAAATGATAGAGGTGGGTAAGCCACTGCACTAACAAAGATCTTTACATCCACCATTGCAGCTTCCCCTGCTGGGGTACGGCAGTAGACTTCACTGGAGTTGACAGAAATAATTTCACAATGGTCATCTCCAACAATGACTGTGGTTTTGCCTGGATAGAAGCCATTTCCAGTGATCAACAAAGTAGTTCCACCTCTAATGCTTCCAGAAGTTGGTGAGACAGATGCTACCGCAGGGCTGCTGACAGTAAGGTTTCCCAGAGCCAAGCCTTTAGTTCCCACCACAACAGTAAGAGAATGAAGTCCAGCTGGGAGAGAAGTCACAAGAACAGTGATGTTATTTTCATTAACATCTATTGCCCTGAACTGTTGATTTCCAATGAAAACAGCAATGTCTTCCAAGATAGTCCCCAAACCTTCTCCTTCAATAAGAACTTGTACAGATCCGTGAATACTGTTTGGGATGATTCTTGTTATAACAGGCGTGAGGCTGTCTAAATATGAAAAGCGGCAGTTCCCCCGGCACTGGGCAGGCACACCGTGTATTAGAAGATCTACATCCACAAGCTGTTGAGGAGCAGCAGGTGTTTCACATTCAATGGCTGTATAATTCACTGATAGAAATTTACACGGTAAATGACCCAAGAGGACGTCTACACTAGCAGGAGAAACTGCAAATCCAGAGCCTTTTATGGTCAGTCTTGTCATTCCTGTAGTTGATCCTGCAAGTGGCAACACCATGTCTATGCTTGGTAGAAGTACAAATCGCCTATCAAAATCGTTGGCCAGTGTGTTGATAGCAGTGCCCAGGTTGTGGACAGTTAATGTGACAGTTTCCCTGATGCCAACATCCATTGAGTTTTGAGGGTCAATGTGACACATAATGGAATTTTCACTGCTTTCTTCTACAACACAGGGGTAGCTACCAATTTTAACCTGAAAGTAAAATGAATATGAAATAAATCAATTCAATGCATTACCCTAGTGTGAACTTAAATCTTGTATTAGCAATAACTAACATTAAAAAACTAATCATGTGCAAATATTTATTCATAAAATTTAGGGGGCTGATTAAAGCACATCTTGGATTAATTTTAAAAATTATGATCGCATATGAATATTCATAGTGGCATTATTCATCACTTGATAAACAGATAAACAAAATGTAGCATATTCATGAATGGAATAGTATTTGGCCATAAAAAGAAATTAAGTACTGATATATACTACAACATGGATGAACCTTGAAAATACTATGTTAAGTGAAAAAAGCCAGTTGCAAAAGACCTTATATGATTCCATTTATATGAAACGTCCAAATAGGCAGATCTACAGAGACAGAAAGATTAGTGGTTGCCCAGGGCTGGGGAAATGGGGGATTTGGGAGTGATAGCTAAGGGGTAGGGAGCAAGGAAAATGATCTAAAATTGTGATGATGTGGTGATGTATGCACAACTCTGTGAATGCTAAAAGTCACCAAATTATACACTTTACATGGGTAATTGTGTGGCATGTGAATCATATATCAATAACCCATTGCCATCAAGTCAATTCTGACTCATAGCGATCCTATAAGACAGAACAGAACTGTCCCATAGGGTTTCCAAGGCTGTAAATCTTTACAGAAGCAGACTGCAACATCTTTCTCCTGTGGAGAGCTGGAGGGTTCAAATCAGCAATCTTTCGGTTAGCAGCCATGTGTTTTAACCACTGTGTCACCAGAGTTCCTTTACATATCAATAAAGCTGTTTAAAAAATTAAAGTATGAGGTTTCAGCCAAAGCAACTTCCTATTATTGAGTATATAGAAGTAAAAAGGAGATCTTCTTTATATGCTTACCTTATTAGCACACGTGAGATTACTGAAGCCGTGTCCAGTAATTGTTATCAATTCATTTACTGTTCCAATGGATGGACTAATGCTGTTTATAGACGGTGAAAAACAACTTGAAAGCTCAAAGAGCAATTTATCTGAATTTTTAACCCCAGTATTGTTCACGCCACACAGGGGTTCTGTTGCTAGGCAGCCTGCAGCAGAGCTTCCCGAGTGCAAATTTTCAGGTCCTCCTTTAGACAAAAGAATTGCCCGTAAGTCACGGATAACATTCTAAAACAAGAACTGTTATCAGATTGCATTACTCTTTATTTTGATGATAGTAGCTTAAATTCTGGTAAATCTTTTTTTTTTTTTTTTTTTAATGACAAGAGGAGTGCCAGACACTACAAAGATCCTAAAGACTTGAACAAAGATGGTAAACAGAGATGAACAAATCTAAAATTAACTTTTCAATTTGCCTAAGGCCAAAATTTCATGGGTGGGGGGGACCCAGTAACATCACTTTACGTTTTAATATATTTTGAAAGCATGTACAGAGTGTCAGAACTCTTTCACGTTACTTCCCATTTGAAGCACACATGAATTCTGGGAGTCTGGCAGGATGATGTTAGCATGACCCTTATTTTACAGAACAAAATCCAGCCTCACAGCAGTCAAGACCTATTCAAGGTCATATGGCCCGTCATCTGCCTCCTACTCTAAAAAGGTCTCATAAACCCTGGGTCACCTCAGTGTTGGAGCTTCCATCTTTGACCATCTTACCCTGAGTGTATGTGGCTTCAGTGCCATTCACAAACAGGTGCAGGGGGATGTGCCTGGTTTCAGCTGGTAAAACGTTAATGACTCCTTGAAGAAAAATGGAGTGAGCATCATCAACATACCCACTGCTATAATAATGGATTCCAGGTGATGTAAATCGGTAAGAAAATGAACCTGTCATAAAATAAGATTGTACATACTAAATAAAAGCAATTAATGAGGGTTGGAAAAGTCTGCAAAAAATTTGAAAGGATCATTTGAATGTACATTCAGATGACAGGTTTCTTATTTTTCATGAGTGTGATATTTCAGCAGGAAGAGCAAAGGAGATGACTCACAGGCTATAAAAGAGCTATCTTGTATAATGACATTACATTCCAGGAAGACAAGATTCAGCATTAATTTTGTAGAAAACCAGGTCAAGTCTGGGATAACTCACCGAAATTTAAAGAAAAACCCAACATGGAATAAAAAATAAACAAACAATATATAATTCTTGTCTATGAGCAAAAAGTTCAAACTGCTATATGCACGGAACAAAACAGGCAGTCTACAAGGCACACTTATACTGAGCTATTCTAGTTGAAATACTGATTTTAAAGCTGACTCCAATTAACAAAAGTTGATGATTTAATACCAGATTGGTATGATTAAAAAAACATATTTCAGTTTTCATTGTGTTTTTACTAGTTTCCATATATTTTTCAACTGATTTTTACAGCATCAGTGAAGATATTTCTAATATCAGAACTCTAATGTGTATAAAATACCTTGCTTATATTCATTTATAACATGTTTTACTACAGCAACAAAATGCCTACTAAACCACTTTGTATTTGTGTGTGTGCATATACATATATATAATTTACGGGAAAGTATTTTAAGTCTAAACATAATGTCTTTTGTATTACATCTAGGAAAAAGAAACGTGATGCAAAACTCAAGAAAGAGCAAACGTACCAGATGCAGATTTTTGCCTTCCACTAGTAAATCCTTTCCCGTCATAAATTACACTTCCAGGACTGGAGACAGAGAAAACTCTATATCCTATTCCCCTAAGAAACAGATGGGCTTGCCAACGCCATGTCACCGTGTCACCCACGGACACATTTAAGACTGATGGGGACCAGGCATAACCTAATCCATGTTCTGAAAGCAAGAATTGAGTTATACTTTAAAAGAAAAAAAGAAAATTTCTCAACAATTAACTTGAAAATGTATTGTACTTTATACAACCATTAGTGAAAACAAGTGCTAATTAACTTCATAAAACTTCATATATATATAATTTAAACACGTAGCAAAAATAGAAATAACAAAAGTAAGATAATGAGAAGCTAAGGAAAAAATAAGTCAAAAACTCCAAAACTGATGATCAAATGACAATTTGAAAAAAATTAGAGAGTCAATAAACTATTTGATGGGAAATATAACATGTAATATTTTTAAAAGCTAATGTCAATTCTGTGAACATAAGAATTTTCTCAGGCAAAGAGGTGCACAAAATCTATATAATATCAGTTTGCATATTCATTCAGAAACCCGTGACTGGTAAACAACTACACTAATTCAGGAGCCTCTGTCCTGCAGCAAATCGAATGGCAATTCCTGAAGCTGGAAACTGGAAAGTACATCTAGCCTTCTAAGACTCAGGACTACCACTGATTCCCTCTGTATGATCATCTATGTCAAAGAGATACCCTTGACCAATTATAGAAAGAAATAACAATACATATTCTTTGATTACTTTACTATGAAGCATAAAATAAATAAATTACCTTCATAATTTAAAATTTATAAATACTGATTGATACCTGAATCTTCCCCATTGTTAGTAACCCTGAATATATTCCCTGTTGAATGAAGAACACATTTTATGACACTGGCTGAAGATGATATCACATTGCAAGGAAAGGAGCCTAGAAAGAATAACAATAAAAACATATATTCATAAACATTTTTGTGAACTATAGAAATGAAGCATAATTAATAAACCAAAGTCCAGCAAAAGCTCTGCCTTATGTATTTTTTCTGACAATAATTATGCTCAAGTACTGATTATTTTCAAGCAAAGACACTGCCCCCGTCCTTTTTTTCCAGGTGTTCTATGTACAATAAATACACAATAAATATTTATTGGAATCAAAAGAGTATTCCAGTTCTCCCTACCTCCTTAACCAAATACACTTAACTTGTATACATTACAAGAAAAATAAAGCTTCTGTCATTGAGAGTATTCATGCAATCACTCACAATGCACCTACAGTACATCCTTTGGGCAGAGAAAAATGATAACATTTCTGTGAGAATGAAGCTCTTACCCAAAAGCACAGTGTTTTCGGCTGGTATCGTGCTGAACCCAAAACCCATTACAGTGATTTCAGTTCCACCATATAAGGACCCTTTCTGTGGAAACATGTTGGTCACTTCCAAAATATACTGTATAGAAGCCTGTAACTTGTCTCTGCAAAAGAAAAATGAATAGATGTTTTGCTGAACTTTCTACAGGCTCATATTGCTAAAGTCTTTGTTGTTGTTAGATGCCAACGAGTAAGCCCTAAGTACTACAGAACGAAACACTGCCCGGTTCTGTACCATGCTCACAATTGTTGTTATGCTTGAGCTAAAGTCTTAAGAGGACGTAAATTCTTTAGCAAGAGGAAGCAATTGAATATTTAATTAGATACTAAGTTTTCAAACTAGACAGTTTGACTATCATGGCCCCAATTTGGTCGGATGGGTTACGTACAATTGCTTCTCCCTAACTATGAAAATTCAATTTCTGAAAATTTCATGGCAGAATTTGAAATGGATCTTAAAATATTATGAGAAAAATATGGTTATGAGAACTGAGATTGCAAGAAATACAGGAAACCCTTTAAAATATTTTATATATTCATTAGAGTAGAATATAAAGACAGCACTATCTATTAAAAAAAAGTAATGGAATTCCATGCATTTTATATGAGTAATAAAAGGTTCTATGCAATTAATTTATAATTCCGTGTTTATGGGACACTTACCAGGCTCTCTATCCCACTATTTCAATAGGATGGTTTTTAATCTATTTTGCTTTTTTATGGACAATATGCCTGCTAAGAAGCTTTTCTCCCAGATGCCACCATGACTACAGAGAGATAGGGCAACTTAAATGAGTCTTTAAGTGAACTTTTATTTAACTTCCTCGGCATAGTTGAATTGGTATATCTCTAACCTCCATTCAAATACACTTTTTTATGGTGCCCATTCTGCCGTTTATATCGCCATGCCAAAGCACAAGCCAACACCTTTTCTTGAAGCCATTTCAGCTCTGCCCTGTGAATCTAAGAGGGGATGTAGTTCTGAGGTTTATGTTTACTGCTGCTCACCTTTCTTCACCTCTCAGAAGGTTTCACTGCAAACATTTCTCCTTCTCTCCAATATTAACTTAACCAGACTTTTTTTTTTTTTTAAATGCCTAAATCTATTCCCTCTTTCTTCAATTGTTCCCAACCTGTAATTTTCTCACCTCAGAACTAAAAATTTATCCGGTAATAAACAATTTCCAGGAAGGAAATACTAAACACTTGTTTAAAGGGAACTTATAGTTGGAGAAAATTCTCTTCATCTTCTTCAGATGGCCAGCTCCTACCCATTCTTTATATCTTGGCTTAATTATTACCTTTTCAGAGAACCCTTCCCTGTCCCTCAGGATAAATTAACTCTATTATATACTCTTACATCTTCTAGTATCCCTTATTCATACTGTTTTTCACTTTTATAATTAAATTATTGATGTAGTCTTTTGTTTAAAGTCTGTCTCCTCAATAAAATTGTGGGCACCATTAGAACAGAGGACGTGTCCCTCTTGTTCACTACTATGGACCTAGCACTGAGCAAGTGCCTGCCTCAAAGTAACGGTCTGATAAGTATTTCTTGAATGAAGGCAAATCATATAACATATACATAAATCTAGTTCCACAGATAATTTTACAACCTAATCTGAATGGTATTGATCTCAAAGCTAAGCACCATATTGCACTTTATGAGATAGTATCAAAACCATTTATAATAAGGAGGTACAGAAAGATAATGAAAGCAATTGAAATAACATGTTGATGACTGTTTCTTTTCCAGTTCCCATACAATTAGCCCCATGTGTCCACAACTCCCTTGATTTACGTTCATTACCAATCTTTAAAAAAATATATTTTATTGTATTTTAGGTGAAAGTTTACACAGCAAATTAAACTCCCATTCATACACAAGCTGCTGCATGACATTGGTTACAGTCCCCGCAAGGTGTCTGCACTCTCAACATTTGAACACCGTCTGCCCCATTTCCACCCATTCAGTTTCCCTGCCCCTCCCTGCCTTCTCATCTTTGCTTTTGGATAAATGTTAACTGTTTGGTCTCATATAGTTGATTGTTTAAAGGAGCATGTTTCTCATGGGTGTTACTGCTTCTTTTATAGGCCAATCTATTATTTGGCCGAAAGGTAATCTCCGGGCGTGGCTTCAGTTTCAGGTTAAAAGGGTTACCATACCTTTTTGATGCAAAACCCCAATTTCTGACTTCTACATAGACATCATGTTTTCCAGGAGATAACCTGGGCAAAAGGCATCTAATATCTGTGAAGTTCCAGTGAAGAACCTGGCAAGGTTTTCCTCCAACATATACCATATTTTGTGTGAGTTCATTTCCAAAGTTATAGCCCTTAATTGTTAAATTAACTTCTCCTATTATATTAAAAGAAAAAGAAAAGTTTTAAAGAAATGTTTCAACTTCTTATCAAGTGTGAAATGTGCATATTAAACAAACCAACTCATCTCTTATATTTCATTAAATTTTGGAAATCCTAACATTTTCAAAGAAAAAACAATGAAAATGCTGATGGCTTCCAGGTGAAAATAAAATCTTTGTTTAGTTGTTTCACAAAGAAAACAGCAAGATGGCAAAGCATTTTTTTTAAACTTAATATTTCTCCCCTTATTGAGCATATTCAAAGTGAAATAATAGATAGACTAATCATGGTAAAGAAAAGCCTGTGACTGGTTTCACTTTATGAAACAGGAACACAGGAGAAAGTATGCTTCAAAAGACTTTCTAGATGTGGTTTCCATATCTATGTTAAATGACTGATATTATCGAAGAATTTCTCACCTAGTATTGCCCGTTCTTTGGGGTGAAAATCAGTTATAACTGGAGTCTGTAAACAATTATAACTAAAAGCATCATTTGCTGTGACTTGAAATCCATTGGTAATAACTGATACATCAACTGTACCCTCAATTCTCTAAAACAAGAGAAAGATAAAGTGAATTATTAGAAAATATTAAGTGCTGAGATGCAGAAATACAATGGATAAAAACAAATAGAATCATTCACTATAAACTTTTGAAGATGTTATGTTTCAAAATCATAAATCAAAATCAGTTTTCAGATATTTAGAGAGTTGTGTCAAATATAGGTTGTGTTTGAATTCTAGAGATAAAGGTATATGTTGGAGTGGTTTGTAGATGTTTGTGAGCAATGTAAATGCAAGTATGTTATTGGATTCCTGAGGGCTCTGAAATACAGTCAAGACACTCTGGACAAGTGCTTCTCTAATTGCATAAGGTTTTAAAAGCATAAGGTACTCAACATTTTTAGTTTTTTTGCTCTTAAACCAGACTCATATATATTTTGTATTCCTCTTCACTGACAAAACACATGATTATGTCATTTGCTGACCCAGTTCCAAAGGCCCACACTTGGATCCCTAAGAAAAGTATTTGGTGCTTTCACAGCTATATAGAGACCCTACAGGACAGAGCTGAACTGCCCCATAGGATTTCCAAGACTATAATCTTTCTGGAAGTATACTGCTACATCTTTCTCCTGCAGAGTAGGTGGTGGGTTAAAACTGCCAGTCTTTCGGTTAGCAGCTGAGTGCTTAACCACTGTGCCACCAGGGCTCCTTTTTCATATATATATTCACTACTGTAGCACATATGAAATTCCTAATTAGTAAAAGCACTTTTCCAGCATCTAGTAAATACTTAATGCATACTCAGTGTTTAATTGAATGACATAGTTTAAACTAAGTTTAATTCAGTGTATTCCTCAGATTCTCATCTCCCAACATTCAGTCTAACACATTCTCAAATTTATTCTTCCTACAGACCCCACAACGTAATACTCCACCTATTTTGCTACAGGTTTTTTTTTTCTTTACTTTAAATGATTGCATTCATTATCACTTAGCACTTAATAAGGAAATGAGAGTCTTGGTTTAAATTTAAGTACTATTTTTTTAAATAAAAAATTATGATTGGTTCTAAGATGCAATATTTCAGGAGAACTTCACATTGCTTTTCTTCAACAAACTGAAATTTTACCACATTTTTAAAAGCTAGACATTTCTAGAGTTACTTCCCTGAATTTCTTGACTACTTATTAGTACTATATTTTTTTCATCCTTTAATTTAACTGGTAAACTCCCTTTCATTATTCAAGCTCTGATAGGGCATCAACTTTTCTGTGAAACTGTTCCCAATGACCTCTCCCCATTGTATTTTATTTTTACTTTGTCTCTATTTCTATTACATAAAATGGAATCATACTGTATAGTACTGGTTTACATGCCTGTTCTCCTTTAGAACTTTAAATATCTAGAATGCAGAGATCATGTTTTGTCTTTGGATCTTAACAGATAGAAGATGTTGGAGAAATAATTGCTGAATAGCATAAATAAAACTCTAGCTTCTAGATAAATATATCCCCTGTCACCCTCCACTGAGGTGTTCCCTAATTCATAAGCTATCAGACTTATAAAAAATGGCTGAAATTTGATGCCTTACTTTTGGTGTTCTGCAGGTTATAATATTAAAATCCCCTTGAACCACAGTGCAGCTTTCATCTCCAACTAATACCTTTGAATTTGCATTAAAACCAAATCCAGACAGAGTCAGTAGAGTACCACCTTCATAAGAAACAAAACAAAAAACAGATCAACTATAACAACAACAACAAAAACTTTTTGGCAATAATCTAACTCCTCATTCGAGAATTGTCCAGTCATTCAAGAGATGGATTGGCAAATAGATCAAGGACAAAACTCAGCAGTATAGATTTAGCTGATGTCCAATACCACCACACAATTAGCCTGAGCACCGAAGCCTGGAACGATAAAGGTGCTGGGCAAAGTAATTTTATGAAATAACAAATTTGCAATTACTGTTTGCTTTGGTGCATTACTACTAGCAACTATTATTTTTTATAGTACCTTCTTCATCCTAAGGAGAAATTAGGCTGTTTCTATTTGCTCAACCATCTATGAGTGGGAAACGTGGGTGAATTAAGACTCTCACCAAACTCAAGTTTTACACCTCTCAGTAAAGGGAAAACAAAAGAATAAATAAAATAAACACACAAATCCACATCAAATCCAAAGCACAAAATTTAAAACTAAACATACTAAAAAAATAAACAAAACACAAAGGAAATGAAACTGAATAGAAAAAATGTGTTATTTTCTTTCTGTCCTGTGCGTCAGCCTTCCTTTCTCTGATTTGTTCCCAGAACTTTTTCTGGGTCAAGTAGCTCCACTGAGGCCATGGTTATAAATGGAGCAGCTGGGAAGCAGAATAATAACTAATAAATCTTAACTTGACATAATTGATGAGCTTGTTATAGAAACATGTAATAATTGATGATATTAATTCAATAACCTAAGATGTAAGTATAAGCAGTCACCCTGAATTTTGCTTCATAAGAAACAAAAGAATTAGTCAGCCATTTAATCACTGTGCCTTCTGAAAGGGTACTCTTCTTTGTTCTACATGTGGGAGCTTTAGGTTCCCCTCCCTTCACTGTGTTCTAGAAACAGCACAACAAAATGATGGGAATATATGCAATTTTCTTTGTTTAACCCTATTAACTCTTACCTGCTAGGCTTCCAGAAGCAGGCCAGACGTGTGAGATCTGACTCTGATACGTGAAGTGGAATACCTCATCCTTCACATTCTGTGCTAGCCCAACATCAGCTATGGACACAGCAACTGGGAAATGTCCAGCACTTCCATTCAGAATCTGGCATTTGATCTTGTTTTCTTGAGATAAAAAAGAAGAAAATGATAAAGCAAATATTTTTGTGAGGCAAAATTACCAAAAATTTATATTTGCAAATATTAACACTGGACTCTATTTTTATACCACAAGAAATACACCTAAAGGCAACAACTCATGCATTAATTGGGGGAAAAACCTTTATAAACTACATGATGCTATAAATTAGATCCTCTTAGAAAACAGGTAAACCAATAATGGAGGAAAAGTAAACAATTTGCTCCTAATTGCTACTGTGCCCCTTCCCCCCCTCAAAAAGGCTGTAGTAATAGTGTTCATAATCCTAATCTGTAAGGCCATTTATATTAAGAATTCTAAAATTTTTGGTCCAATATATTGCTTATGTCTAAAATAGACATAAGTAAAATACTATGCTTCATCAAGAAAGGTGATCAAAACTTAAATGAAAACATATTCTTCACTTCATTTAGAACAATATATGCGTACTTATAATACAGGTGCAGTTTTGACTGTTAGATCTCAAGAATACATAGAAAAATCTAGATTTAAAACATCAGTGATTTGGAAGATGGATTCGCTTATATAATTCCAATCTATTAAAATTGGGAAGAATAGCTAGGATTATGAAAGACAATTTTTAATGAAATAAATAATTATGGCCCTCATTATCTTAAGTGGTAGAAAATGTAAATAATCTTTAAATTCTATGTTAATGGTAGAGGCTCTGTTGGAATACAAGTCAGGGTAGGTGATCGTGTCCTCTTGCCACCTGACTAATGTGATATTATCAAAGCATGGGCAGAGGGGACCATGAAACACCAGAGTAGCAATTCATATATTCTTTGTTTTTGTTATTTTTTTTTTAATGGTGCTTTAGATGAAGGTTTACAGAGCAAATTAGTTTCTTATTAAACATTTAATACACACATTGTTTTGTGACATTGGTTGCCAACCCCACGACGTGTCAAAACTCTTCCCTTCTAGACCTTGGGTTCCCCATTACAGCTTTCCTGTCGTCTTCTGCCTTCTCGTCCCTGCCCCTGGGTTGGTGAGCCCATTTAGTCTCATTTTGTATTATGGGCCTGTCTAATCTTTGGCTGAAGGATGAACCTCAGGAGTGACTTCAGTACCGAGTTAAAAGGGTACCCAGGGACCATACTCTTGGGATTTCTCCAGTCTCTGTCAGACCAGTAAGCCTGGTCATTTTTTGTGAGTTAAGAATTTTGTTCATTTTTCTCCAGCTCTGTCTGGGATCCTCTATTGTGATCCTTGTGAGAGCAGTCAGTGGTGGTAGCCAGGCAACGTCTACTTGTGCTGGACTCAGTTGGTGGAGGCTGTGATAGTTGTGGTCCGTTAGTCCTTTGGACTAATCTTTCTCTTGTGTCTTTGGTTTTCTTCATTCTCCCTTGCTCCAGATGGGGTGGGACGAGTGTAGTATCTTAGATGGCTGTTCACAAGCTTTTAAGACCCCATAATTCATATATTCTTGTGTTCTAAAGTCACACCCAAGAAAGCATTCACGTAACCACTCTTATGAAGGAAGAAAAATGAAAAAAAATCAACTGCTATGGGATAAAGACACTCAACTTCGACAGTGAAAGAACCAGTCTGTGGTTATAACCAATGATTAAAAAATTAAGGCATTTATCCAGATCAGGTTACCAATTTCATAACTCCATAGGGTACTTATAGGACAATCATAATTGTATTGCCACTCTTTTGATTCTGCTTTCTCTTAGAGAGAAAAATTTAATAATAATAATAATTTTTAAAAAACCTACCATTCACAGAAAGAAGAGAGCAACCTGTTGGTCCAACTGAGACTGATATAGCTGAACTAGGAGAAAATCCAGAGCCTGATATGGTTAGAATTGTGCTTTCCTCATAGGAGCCTGAAAATGACAGATTTAAATATAAATATTTAAATGACAAAACTAATAGAATCTGTTGTTAGGAAAACAGATATTTCTTACAGAAGATACAAGATATATGTAATATCTTCTAAAAATATAAACAGTAAACCTATAAGCAGGGCAGGCAGGAGAAGACACACTCATTTGGCCATGCTATTTTTTTCCATTTAATTACTCTTCATTGCTTCATATTTAGAATCTGAGTGTTTACAGATATCAGCAGAAATAATTATCTGGGTGAAAGTACAAAATGAGATAAGGAAAAGTATTATTCTTATGAAAATGCAATTAAACAGACATCTCTATATGGCAACTTGGTAGTGATAGAATTGTCATCAGAAATTCATGAGGAAAGGATAAGCTACAATAAATGTGTAGACACTTTCCATTTGAAAAGAAAATAAGATTCCTCTGTCTAGGGTAATATACATTCTAAAGTGCCTGAGATATTTGCAGTTTACACTTGTTATCCCAGTATCTCATCCTGAATATTTTTCCATTCACTCTTAAAAGTTTTCAGGTTTGATAGATAACTTACATGACCACCCTACTTATACAACACCATACACAAACTAGATTCCACAAGGATTTAAATAGCTAAGAATGAGAACAAAACTCTTAAATTTTAGAATATAACCAAATATCTTAATGACAGGGTACAGATGGATTTCTTAAGCAAGATACAAAAAACCATGGTTAATCATAAAGGAAAAGATAAAATATAATAAATCAATATTTTAATTGTCTCCATGCACAAGACACTAAAACAAGTGATATACTGAGAGAAAACATATACAAAGAATTGGTAAACAGAATATATCATAAAGAGTTATAAGTCAATAGAAAAAGACAATCCCATAAAAAATGGATAAAGATATTTATAAGCAATTTTCTGAAGAAGAAATAATCTGAAAGGCCAATAAATATTTGAGAAGATGTTCACATGCATTACTAATAAGAGAAAAGACAATTAAAACAGTAATGAGATAACTTCATTCACCCCTCAGACTGGCCAAAATTTGTAAACTGATAATGTCAAGTATTGGCAAGGATACAGGGAATACGGCACTCTCATACTTGCTGTTGTACAGGCACTTTGGAGAGCAATTTGATGCCATCTAGTAAACTGAATATGCATATTATAATCCAGCAATTCTACATCTGGGTACATACCCTAAAGAAGCTCTAGCATGTATGCAATTGGAGAGATGTACAACAAAGCTCAATATAGTCCTATCTGTAAAGCCAAAAAGTCGGAAACAATCTAAATGTCTATTAATAGAGGAACAAATAAATAAAGATAGGTATATTCAGGAAGTAGTTTAAAAGGATGAGTTAGATGTACATAAAACCACATAAATATATCTCAAAATGAATGCTGAATGAAAAAAGATACAGAAAGATGTTTACGTTGCAATATATTATTTGCAAACTTAAAAAAAAAACCTGGCAAAATTACCATATGTGGGTGTGCTACATACAAAAGGTATTTAGATGGCATGGAAGAATACATACAAAATTAATGACTGTGATTGCCTCTGGGGAGGTTTGTAGGGGACTAGAATGAGGGATGGTACTTAAAGGGGAATTTAACAGTTTCTATAATATTTTTCTTAAATTTATAATTAAAAGTAAATATGGAAAAATGTTAACTGTTAGTTTTCAGTGAAGGGAATATGGATGTTTTATAATATTCTTTTTACTTATCTTTTCATTACTTTTAAATTTATCAAAATGTGGCAAAAGACTTCAACATGTTAATTTTTTTAGAATAAGAAAATTCTTTCTAAGAAGTGCATGTAAAAATGAAAAATTATGAATTATAATATAAAATATATATTCCAAAAATATGCATAAATAAGGATAATATCAAAAGACTACAACTAAATTAAAGTACTTCAAATCCTTCGAGGTTTGGCCTCATGTGACGAATTATCCAAAAGTTAATATTATTGTAAAAAAAGGTCTTAAGAATACATTCTTTCAACACACAAAGATGCATTAATTTTAAAATTTCAATGTATATTATTTTTTGCTGATTTAAAATTAGTAGGAAAATTTCCCTGCTAGCCATCAAGACTAAATATGTGATTATACTATCTGAGCTTATGTTTATGATTGGAAAAAAACAAAAGTTACCCCTTACAATCCTGAGTTCTATTGTCTATTTTAATCCTGGGGAGCTAGACACAAAATATAATCACTGTATTTTAAAAGCAATAACATACTACGAAGAGATGGTATAATGTGTCTCCTGGAATGAGTTCTTGGCAAGAATTACATCTCTTATTCTCGAATATAGGACCCAGTTATTGTCTTTTACTAAACAGCAGCTGTCTCGTTATTAGCCTTTTCAATACTAAGTCTCCCAGAGGAAGTGATCTCATATGATGAAAGATCCCAATTAATAGCCTAGCTAATTCAGTTTAACAAGAATGCCTCAGTGTCAGAGTGAAATTTTAGAGACTGGTTCCAACTGGTGAAACTACAGAAGTAGAGTAGGTAGGGCAACTTCAAAGGCAATATTTATTGTTTTTTTTAAAAAAAAAAAATTAGTGTTCTTTCCATAGCTTTCTGATCTAATCAATTATTTTTCACTATGTAGATCTGCCTGTTTGCCTTAGTTGTGATAAGGGTATATCAAATATCACAATCAGAGTTTTTGCTAGCTCTCTTTCACCCCAAACTCCAAGTTAAAAAGCAAGAGGTTACCTTGAGAAGGGTTTATGGCCAAGACTAGGGGAGTAGTCATGGGATCCCACGTAAACCCACAGTCACCTGAACATTTAGCTGGAATTCCATTGACATAGACTTCAACCTGAAAATAAAGAAACACAGAGCTAGAGAACAGCAAATGTGCCTACTTGTGTCAGGTGCAAAGGTAAATGCTGGGGACACAACATTTAAAAAGTCAGATAATGTCATCTTGCTGTCACTCAATTTATATTCCAGTGAAGATGGAGTAGAAAATGCATTAGATCATACACAAACAAATAAGCAAATGTATATTATGTCTGGTAGTGATTAGCGCCAAGAGGAAAAATACAGATTGTTCTTAGGCAAGTCACCTAAGTTCTCTGCACTTTAATTTCCTCCCCACAGAAATAGTAACCTTAACAATTATTCACAGAGCTATTGCCAACATTAAACAAAAGAATATATTTTCAAATTCTAAAAGGCAGAAGAACTTAAAAATCCATTCTTTTGTCGTAAGGACCCCCCAAAGTTATAAAATAATATTCTTGAGTTGGCCAACTATTAACACAAATAAAAATGTCATCCCTACTATTTAGCTAGGTCTTTAATGTATTACAAACTAGTTATACATTTAAAATTATGTTAAACGTCATGAGAAAATAGTTGCAGAAATACCTGTGGCTGTTGATTGGGTGTACGAAGTAGGTCTCCGAGAACGCGCTGTCTGAATAAGCCACCTTCCTTTATCTTTACAACTGTCATATTAGCCTTTTCTCCAATAATGTTGGAATCATTAATCTATTTTATAAAAAATTATTTGATCAGAAAGACTATGATAAACATAACCACACTAATTTTTACTTATAAATATAAACATGATAGAAAATGAACATAAGCTAAAGGATGTAAGAAAAAATATTCAAAATCACTTTGTCACATTTCTTGAAAAAGAAATCTCTTAAAAAATGAGCAAAATCTACCCAAGGAAAAAATACTAGTAAGATCATTGTGATATCATGCATTGTATAAATTACAACTGTGAGTTAAGTAGTAATGTTAACTTTTTCAGAATAAATTGTGTCTAAAGAAAATGAATTTACTAAATTTGATTTTCTTAAAAATGTTCTGTTTTTTCTAAATATGACCACTTTGATAAATGACTGTTGAATAGTAGAAGAATTGAGTTATCTTTCTACCTAGAGTCAAATTTTTCCCTTTAGCATTTTTCACCTGAGACTACCTTGATTTATCTTCCATTCTTGAAATTATATTTCCTTCCAATGGTAAAAATGGAACCAAATCAAATTATTATGTACCATTTGGTCATTCCAAATTCCTGTGCCAATATGGTAGCCTTCTGATGTAGTCAAGGGCTAGCAAAGAGATGAGAGTCTCTTGCTAGGCCATGCTTGAGCCAGTGATGAAGGAACAGAAATGATGAATAAGCAGAGACTCCTGGTCAGAAGAGAGAGAAGAGGAGATGCACAGACAGAGGGAGAGATACCAAGATGGAGAAGAGTCACTAGAGCTGTCTTGGTTCCAGAATTTTCCAGTTGAGCTTCCAGGCCATGTGCTTTCATAAAATAATTCCATGACTATTGACTAATTTGCACATAAATACAGACTTGTTTTCTCTGTTCACATATCATTTTTTGTTTCCTTCTCTCCTTCCTACTCCTTTTTTTCAAGTTCTACCTTTTTTTATTCACCTTATGTCATGCGCATCTTTCCATGTGAGCATATGTGGGTCTACATATGGTTGTACAGTATTCATGCTAAAGTTGTAACACTTACACAACAACTCCCATACTGATGGGGAATTAAGTTTGCAGGTTTTTGTTGCTACAAATATTGCTTCAGTAACTATATCATTTCACATCGCTATCTTAGTCGGATAGAATTATATAACTGAGATTGCTGAATCATTGGCTATCTATATTCAGATACTACTAAATTATCCTTCAAGAACGTTGTACTAATTTACTTTCTCCCCAACAGATCATGAGAGAGAGTGTTTCCTCAGTCTTTTCTAGATTCCCCTCCTTCAAATACTGAGCTGTAGACCTCTGCCCCTACTCCTTTCCACACTCTAACAAAGCAAAGGTAATTAGATGAGAGCTTAAGGCATGAATCCCTTATGCACTTAAAAATTATTCATAGCCCCCAAATACAGCTTTTCTGGTAGAATCATAGACTGTGAGACAGATTTTCCTTCGTCCTTAAAATACATTCAGATTAAGTTCTGAAACTGGCTCTGCCTGTGCTCCTTCTCCCCTCAGTAAGGATCTTGTAACACTCATATTTCCTGAACTTTTCCCATATGGAATAGAGAATAAAGCACCAATGCCTATTCTCCCTGAAAGAGAACACCTGGTCAACTTAATTTAGAACAATCTTCTTAATTTCCTCTTCTATTTTCTGGTCTACAGTTTGAGATTTTTAAATATATATACACACAGTCTCAAATTCTCTTTGGAATGAAAACTCAAAACTAACCCATTGCCGTCAAGTTGATTTCAACTCATAGTGACCTTACAGGACAGAATAGAACTGCCCCATAGGGTTTCCAAAGTAGCTCTTAACTACTGCGCCACCAGGGCCCCCTTTGGAATGAGGCAGGGTACAAATAAGCAAACAAGACATAGAAGGAAACAGAAATCAAACCAAATGAGAAAACCTGTAGAATATTCTGCTTTCCACACATGCTTCTCCACTTGATGTTCCATGAGTATCCAGCACAGGTTCCCTCTCGCGTAACTGAAACTCGTCCCATTTCTCCCAGACTCTGGAGAGCAAACTGTAAATCTGTAGCTGACACAGCAGCGGGGAGGCCTGTGCTCACAGAGGGAGACAGAGGCGTCAAACTTTCATAAACCAATTACATCTTTAAAAGACATGAAATGTGTACTATGTATGATCACTTGTCAACCAAATGTCCTCAAGAATGAAATTTGCATCTCTTACTTATACCAAGAATTTACATACTTCTTGGAAGCAAAATTACATGGTTAATGTATCTCAAACTGTTGTGTTGGCTCTAATACCTTTATTTATAATATCAATTTACTTTATAGATAACCTATCAGCCATGGTTATAAATTAGCAACAAATGTTGGGAATGTAAACTTTCATATCTAATGAGGCAGTAAAGAAAATGTAAAAATGAAAATGTCATTTGTTCTAGATAATTTAGCTTTACATTACTGTCATAATCTCAACTATATAAATTATGTAAAGATATAATGCCAGAAAGGAATACACTAAAATGATTATAATAGTTGTTTAAATCAGTGCCGTCCAATATATATATAATGTAAGCCACACACAACTTTTAGATTTTCTAGCAGCCATATTTGAAAAAGTAAAAAATATATATATTTAACTCATTATAAAAAACCTGTTGTCACTGAGTCCATTCCAACTCATAGCAACCCCATGTGTGTCAGATTAGAACTGTGCTCCACAGGGTTTTCTTGGCTGTAATCTTACAGAAGCAGAACACCAAGTCTTTCTTCCGTGGCACTGCTGGGTGATATGAATCACCAATCTTTTGGTTAGTAGCCAAGAGCAAAGAGTTTGCACCACCCAGGGACTTATCACTATAGTCAAAATGTTATTAATTCAATATGTGATACTAACCGTATTTCAAATGCTCAGTAGCTTTGTGAGCCTCATGACTACCATATTGGACAGAACAGATCTAGATTATTCTATAACAGTTGTCTTCTAAAAATAATATTCCTCAAGTTACAACAGTATGTCTCTATATGCCTGAAACGTTAGGAGTAGGAGGGGAAATAAAATATGTGGCTAACTGCCTCCATGAACAACTGTCTCCTTTGCCATGACACCAGAAAAACTAGATGGTGCCCAGCTACCATTACTAAACATTTTGATCAAAGATTCTATAAAAGAATCTTGATTAAAAGGGGGAAAATGTAGAATGGAATTTCAAATTCTCATGGACTCCAGAATTTCTGGAGCCATGGAGGCTGGATGAACCCCTAAAACTATTGCCCTGGGATAATCTTCATACCTTAAACCTTATACCAAAAATATTCCCTGAAGTCTTCTTAAAACCAAACAATAGTTTAGCTTAACTAGTCAAGAATATCTGCCTTGAGCATTGTGCACTTTTAAGATCTATCTATATGGGATCAAGTTAACAACAACAACTCAAAGTATTAGATAGGAAACTTAAGGGGAAGTGAGTTTATGTGAATGGGGGAGGAACAACTTGGAAAAGGAACGTGAGAATGGTTGCACAACTTGAAGAATGTAATCAATGTCACTGAATTATAACGTAGAAATTGTAGAACTGGTGTATTTTCTGCTGTGTATATTCTCACAAACAACAAATATAAAAAATTATCAACTCAATAAGTGTAAATGAAATTTAAATAATTAAACTTCACAATGATAAAAAATAATATTCCAATTTTAAATTTTTATAGTATATTATCATTCTTTCTCTGGTTAATCTAGTAATGAATAATCACTTTAAAAAATGTATACGTTATAGAAAGTCTGACTTATGAAATCCATGGCTTCAACCACTTTCAGAGAAATGACTGTTGAGTTTGTTGTTTATCTTTGTAGTCTTTTTCTTATATTACTTAAGTAAATGTAATCACTACTTAAAATATTAGCTTTGGATTAAAAAAAAAACAAAAAACAAAAAACCAATGCCATTGCATCAACTCTGACTTACAGTGACCCTGTAGGACAGAGTAGAACTGTTCACAGGGTTTCCAAGGAGCACCTGGTGGATTCAAACTAGCGACCTTTTGGTTAGCAGCCCAACTCTTAACTACTACTCCACCAGGGTTTCCTAAATTTGGATGGGTAGCTTCTTTCCTAATCTATTAAAGGAAGGGTATAAAACAAAAATATTATAATTGGCTATTAACTGGCCATAATATGATGCATACTAATATTCATGTGCCTGTGTGATTAGGCATTTAAATGTAGAAATAATAGTAAGTAACCCAGCAATTCTATTCCTAGGTATATACCCCAAAGACTTGAAAACAGAGACACAAACAGGTACTTGTACACTAGTTATCATTCCAGCACCATTCACAATACCCAAAAGGTGAAAATAACCCAATGTTCATCAACAGAAGAATGGATAAACAAAATGTGGTATGTACACACGATGGAACATTATTCAGTCATAAAGAGAAATGAATTTTTGATACATGCTACAAACTGGATGAATTTTGAAAACATTATGCTGAGAAAAATAAGTCAGACACAAAAGGACAAATATTGTACAATCCCACTTACATGAAATACATAGAATAGGCAAATGCATAGAGACCAAAGTTTGTAAGTGGTTACCAGGGGCAGGTGGGAGAGGAAAATGGGAAGTTATTGCTTGAAGGGCACTGTGTTCCTGTTAAGGACGATGGAAAAATCTGGAAATGGATAGTGATGACGGTTACACAACATGGTAAATGTAATTAATGTCATAAGTGTACACGTGAAATAGTTGAAGTGGCAAATGTTGTGTTACATATATTTTACCATAAAAAATTAAAAGAAGAAATAATGATAAATAGCAATTCTTCAAGTGAAATAACAGTTAACATTTTATGGCACTATATATATGTGTATTCACACATGCAAACGTTCTGAATATTTTTCATATACCTTTGAGAATATGTCCATAAGCTTGAATGTCAAAGCTGCCACTTAGAGGTGCAGACGCTGCTTGAATTCTTTGAATACGAATCTGAGATTCCCCTGGCCAATTATTTCCTCTGTAGACAGATTCATTCTCTGTCTCATTTGTGATTATCTAATTTCCAAAATAAATATTGATAAAATGATTAAACTTGAAACTGGCTAACGTGATTTCTATTTCACCGTGGTACAAATCTTCGACATGACATAAATGAGCCTAATGTATTCGGGATTCTTCGAACATTAAAAAGAGTCACATAAATCAACACAGGCCATACATACATGGCTGAAATAATGAGGCCAAAGTCAACTCAGTCATCTGTGTAGCAATCAGCCTAAACTGCAGTAATACCTCATTAATTCAGAATGTACCCTCCATCACTCAAGGAATAAATATTGAACAGGCACTCTGTTCAAGGTACAGTGATAATCACCATGGGGAGGCAAAGAAGCACAAGATACATTCTTGGCTATCAGCAAACCTTTTTGGAGAGATAACATATGGAGACTTGAAAACTTTAAGAAAGGATATGGTCAGTAGAGTAACTGACTTAGAGTCAGGAAATACTTGTTTAATGTTAAGTGGATGCCAACCAAGTAATGGAAGTAAAAAGTGCTATAGAAATTCATCGATTGTCAACTCCAGTGGTGAAAATCATACTCTCTTGCTTCTGTTACCTCACGGTCATTGCTTAATCTTGCAGAATTTAAAATTACAACGCCTATACTCCACAAAAATGACTAAATATAAGTGACAAGAAACGTTCATATACGCTTTATTCCTAATAGCCCCAAACTGGAAACAATGTAAAAGTCCATCAACAAAAGGGATAAATTGTAGTATATTCACGTCGTGGACTATTGTACATCCATGAAAAAGAATGAAGTACAGCTACCGGCAACAATATGAATCTCTGTTAAGGGTGATAGAAAAATTTGGAAATGAATTGTGGTGATCGTTGCATAACATGATGAATGTAATTATTATCCTGAGGGTAAAAGAAGTAAGATACAAAAGAGTATACACTGTTTAATTCCATTGATATGAAGTTTTAAAATAGGCAAAATTAATCAATGCTGGTAGAAGTCATTTAGTTAGCAAAAAGTTCTCTCTGTGACACCTTAACATAACTATACCGGTTAATCATTACTTAATTTTTAATCTTGAGTCTATCATACTTAGTTTTTGTTTGTTGTAGGAAATTGTGCTAATACATTTATGGTTTCATAGGAAATTAATCTTAAAAGGAAATTAAACTTAAAATACTCATTATACTTGTAATATTTAATGAATTATTGATCTTATAAGTAACCAATATAAAAAAAAGTTCTTATCCTTTGGAATTAGGGAAAACCAGCTCTTTTCATCCTTGGATCAATTTTGATACAAGTGAAAATAAGAGGAATAATTTAAAAACAATGCAGAATCTGAACTTTTCTTTCAATAATCTCTGTTCGAGGGTATTTGCAGGAAGAGTACACATTTTTCCTTTTGAGTTAGTTGAGAAATCACTGCTTAAATCTGACTAACTCTGTTTTTTTAAGGATATTTTCTCCTGTTTTTTTTTTCATAGATATATTTCTTGAAGAATTTTTAATGTTTAAAGTCAATTTTCATATTCAAGTTGAAAAAGCCTCTAAATCTTCATTTATCCTTAGAATAATTGTCTTGTCCTATTTTGATATGCATGAAGCTATTTTAAAAATTTTAAAAGTTTACTACATCAAAACTAATGCTCCATAAGTTGCTCCATGTATTTTAGCCTTACCTGCCCAAATCTGGCAGCCATCATGGGGATATCATAACTACAATTATATGCGGTCATGGTAACAGAATATTGGTTGGTCATAGTTGATCCATTTATTTTGGTCTGATTCACCTGAAAGTGCTTTAAAAATATTCCTTTACTTGCTAATGCTGGTAGTCTTCTCTTTGGCATTTCTGAAGAACATAAATAAAGTAAATGGGAGATAAAATTGCATAGCTTCTGCTGCTAAAAAGAAAATCATCAACTAATGTCAACATATCATAGAATAAGCTGTAGGAGAGTAGTTTGGGAAGCTTAGTAAACTTTCACTTCTAGAATATAAATCTTTAATGTCTTTCAACATATGAGGACCATTAACTACAACAAAGTATTTAAAACCCACCAAGCTCTGGTTCCATCAAGCCTTCTGTGGGCCAGTTATCTTTGCTCTTTTCTAGGTTCCCTGAATATGGTGCTTATTAGATTGTGTGCTCTATGAAGGCAGGGCCAGGACTGTCTTGTTCGCTACTCTTTCCTTAGTACCGGATACAGTGCCTGACACATGGTAAGTGCTGAATGAATTATATTTAATGATCTACATCATTCACCCTATCACAATCCTGCTGTTTTTCACATGTGTCCAACCAACCATAATCTAAGTCTGGTGATGGCAGATTCAAAAGCGGTGACTATGAACTAGTAATATTTAGTTTTTCTTACCAGTTGACTCAATCTTACACTAGAAGACAGTTCCAAAGGAAAGGATTCCAAAAGTCCTCTGAAAAATGGAAGTAGTCACCTTTCAAGGTAAGTATTTGGAGTTAGAGAGAAGCCCTGGTGGCATAGCGATTAAACGCTCGACTGCTAACCGAAAGGTAGGCAGTTTGAACCCACTAGTTGCTCCACAGGAGAAAGATGTGGCAGTCTGCTTCTGTAAAGATTTACAGCCTCAGAAACCCTATAGGGCAGTTTTACTCTGTCCTATACGGTCGCTATGAGTTGACTCAATAGCAATGAGTATTTTTTTTGGAGTTAGGCTGATTTTTTAAATAAGATTGTAGAGTTACTATATATTATTTTATTATCATATCTCATATACAAATGAGTCTATTAACATTACTAGAAAAACAATGTTGACAATTAAGTTTTTATTTATAACATAGCATTATTAGTTATTACTATTAGTTCCATGGAAAGTTTCAATTCAGTCTTACTAAACAGATGTCAATGTCAACAGTTGCCTTTTAGAAATAGATCTCCATCATTGTAGTTGGTTTCTCAAAGATAAAACAAGACAAAATGGAAATGGTTGGGACAGTTTATTTACCCATAAACAGAATCCAGGACTATAAACTAATTATTGCCATAATGAGAAAGTTTGCATTAAGGATATATTTATCCTAAAATAATCACCTCACCCAACTCACTAGAAATAAAGTTAAATCAGAATATTATTGAAATAAAAGAATGAATGACTCATTAATATCTAGAGATTAATATTTCTATCTATACTACAGAATATAAAAATAGTTTCCATGGTAAAATTTTACTACAAGATATACTGATAAGGTTTAAGTAGATATGAAATAAGACAAAATACCATCCAATGTTGAGATTGTAGACGTCTGTCCAATGTATACTATATCCACATAGAAGGACTGTAATTGGGATGCCTTCTGTAAAGTAATCCTTTGAAGAGAAAAATTAGTCCCAGCGTATTTGGTTTGTATGAGGTCGAGAAGGTCTATGCAAGTGTAGGTCCAGCTGAAATATGATTGGTTAAAATTAGGTGTATAGATCAGTTTAATTTAAACAAATACACTATTAAAATCTTAAAGAATAAAAGTTCCACAAAGACACCAACAAGCATGCTTTATTATCACAGAAAAGCAGCTGTAACAAGGTACAGCAGGCAGAAACTAACACTGGTGGTAACAGGCTTAATATTGCCTACAAACATAAGTTATCTTTTATTTGTAGCCTTGACAGTAGCCACTGAAATCTAAAATAACATTCTGTAGGAGCAGGTAAAGGAACTAAGGAGCACTAGCCTTGATGTAGAGCACATTAAAAAAGGAGACACAAAACTGGAGTCAACTTGCTTTGACAAGGATCACAATAGAGGGTCCCCGACAGAGCTGGAGAAAAAAGTACAACAAAATTCTAACTCACAAAAAAAGATCAGACTTACCAGCCTGAAAGCGACTGGAGAAACCCCAAGAGTATGGCCCCTGGACACCCTTATAGCTCAGTAATGAAGTCACTCCCAAGGTTCACCCTTCAGCCAAAGATTAGACAGGCCCATGAAACACAACAAGACTAAAGGGTCACACCAGTCCAGGGGTAAGGACTAGAAGGCAGAGGGGACAGGAAAGCTGGTGATTGGGAACCCAAGGTCGAGAAGCGAGAGTATTGACATGTCATGGGGTTGGTAACCAATGTTACAAAACAATATGTGTACTAATTGTTTAATGAAAAGCTAGTTTGTTCTGTAAACTTTCATCTAAAGTACAATAATAAACTTTTTTAAAAAGAGAGAAAAAGAAAACCACAGCCTAAAATACCCCCAGGAAAGTAGTGCTTTGGAGGTGGGAGTGGTTGTGAAACAGTTCCAAGCTGGGAGTCAATGGACACGAGGAGAAAAAAACCCAAAACAAAAACCGGAGTCAACTATTTTAGTGCAAAATGTCGGGGATAGAACAGCAAACCCAGTCCAATACTAAGAAGCAGAAACTGGAACTTGGTATTACTTCCAAAAGAGCTTACTGGAGTAGCAGTGCCCACTATTCTAAATGACAAAAAAGGTGTTATTTGCAGATACAAATGATTGCACAGTACCTCTTACATCTGTCATTTAGATTCAGATTTTCCATTAAATATTAACTACATTGGAATCCTGTAAATTGTAATCAAGCAATTCAGCTATGAGAGTTTACAACAAAGAGATAAATATTGTCATCCAAATAACTGAATGCAGTTTATCAATAATCTCTACATCAGCTATCAATATAGTTTTTAACTGACTGGTTTGTTTGGGTCTATTCTATCGTTATTTTCCTCATGGTTCACAAACTCATCATGGGATCCAGCTCTAATGAATCCAAGTTTAGACTGCACATGTCAGCTTAGAAAATTGTATGCAGGACTACATTAAGTTAAAGTGCTCTTTAAATTAAAAAATATATATATATGATATCTGAACTGAAGCGTACTACTAACTACATAATCTGAAGTTTTAAAGAGTACTACTTAGAAAATTTGGTGTATCAAAAGTTTTCAAAACCTTTAATAAAGAAGGCTATTTTTCCAGTCTAATATGTTACAATGAATTATGCAGTATACACATGTCTAAAGGTATGGACTGAAAGCTAGCCCCAGAATTTTGAAAATAGTGTTGGAATGATGAAGAAATCATAAAGTCTGAAAATGCAGAGGCGAGAAACAGCTTCACTGACCCAATCTTCATCCAAAAAGCAATTCCTCCATCAAGACTCTCCTTCCCATCCAATCTCCCTTATCATCTTGCTTGTTTTTATTTCTTGTTTTTGTTTTGTTTATGGTTAGCATTTGGCTCTATTTCCCACTTTGGATCATTTCTGCCTCCCTCTGCCTGGGTAGTGAGGGGGAGGCACTGATTCTGCCTCACACTTCTTCCATACCTGGTAGTTCTGAGTTATCATAAATCAACCAAAAAAACCAAACCTGTTGCCGTGGAGTCAATTCCAACTTATAGCGACCCTATAGGACAGAATAGAACTGCCCCATAGGATTTCCAAGGAGCGGCTGGTGGTTCCAGCTGCCAACCTTTTGGCTAGCAGCCAAGCTCTTAACCACTGCACCACCAGGGCTATGAGTTATCACAGTCCCATCCTTATGGCGAGAATAGAATGTTGTTGTTAGGTGCTGTTGAGTTAGTTCCGATTCATAGCAACCCCATCTACAACAGAATGAAACACTGCCCAGTCCTGTGCCATTCTCACAATCGTTATGCTTGAGCCCATTGTTGTAGCCACTGTCAGTCCATCTCATTGAGGGTCTTCCTCTTTTTCACTGACCCTCTGCTTTACCAAGTATGATGTCCTTCCCCAGGGACTGGTCCCTCCTTATAACATGTCCAAAGTACATGAGATGAAGTCTCACCATCCTTGCTTCTAATGAGCATTCTGGCTGTACTTGTCCAAGACAGATTTGTTCATTCTTCTGGCAGTCCATAGTATGTTCAATATTCTTTGCCAACTCTATAATTCAAAGGCATCAATCCTTCTTCGGTCCTTCGTATTCATTGTCTAGCTTTTACATACATATGAGGCAATTGAAAATACCATGATATTTGGGTTAGGCATACCTTAGTCCCCAAAGTGACATCTGTGCTTTTTAACACTTTAAAAAGGTCTTTTGCAGCAGATGTGTCCAATGCAATACGTTGTCTGATTTCTTGACTGCTGCTTCCATGGGCGTCGATTGTGGATCCAAGTAAAATGAAATCCTTGACAACTTCAATCTTTTCTCTGTTTATCATGATGCTGCTTATTGGTCCAGTTGTAAGGATTTGTTTCTTTATGTTGAGGTATAATCCATACTGAAGGCTGTAGTCTTTGATCTTCATCAGTAAGTGCTGCAAGTTCTCTTCACTTACAGCAAGCAAGGTTATGTCATCTGCCTATCACAAGTTGTTGATAAGTCTTCCTCCAGTCCTGATGCTGTGTTCTTCTTCATACAGTCCAGAGAACAGAATTTAAAAAAACCCATTGCCATGAAGTCTATTCCAACTTATAGTGACCCTATAGGACAGAACAGAACTGCCCCACAGGGTTTCCAAGGAGTGCCTGGTGGATTCGAACTGCTGACCTTTTGGTTAGATAATGCCCTCCATATATAACAATATAAGGCAAACTTAAATAAACATGTACTAAAGCCCTGGTGGGACAATGGTTAAGCGCTTGGCTGCTAACCAAAAGGTTCGTGGTTCAAACCCATCAGCAGCTCTGAGGGACAAAAGATCTGGAGATCTGCTCTCATAAAGATTACAGTCTAGGAAATCCTATGGGGAAGTTCTACTCTGTTATTAGCCAGAATTGACTCAACAGCACACAACAACAATAATAAAGTATAATGCAAACCATATAGATCCATACAAAATAGAGAAGATTTTAATGTAGCTATGACAGGAAAAAATATTAGAAATCTTTTCAAGACACGGAAATCATATCATAGTTACTTTTAAGACACAAACTTTATACAAAAAAATCTAAAACTGCATACAGGAAATGTTATATATCTTGATTACAGTGACAGTTACATGACTATATGCATTTGTCAACTTGTCAAACTGTGCACTTAAAAAATAAATTTTACTTTTTGCAAATTATATCTCAATAAATATGACTTTAAAAATTATGGGGAAATATTCTGTAAAATAGAAGAGTTGCCGGTGTGTGTATGTTATGTGTGTGTATCTTCATTATTACTTTATTGTAAAATTATTTTTTATGTGCATTGCTTATGAAAATGCAAAGTTGAGAGTGATATAAATTTCAGAAAATAAAAAAATTAATAAGAAACAAAACATAATTATACAGAACTAAATTGTGTTTGGAGGCATGAAAATTATGGTCATTAAATAGCTTTCTCTAGACTCATTCAGTTTCCCCCTTTATATCTCTCTATTTGCATTTCTATGAGTAATTTTGGCAAAGCAAGTATTTCAAAATATCTTTTCTCCCTTAATTTTGGTATATTAATGAAATATTTTATTTTTTCCATTAACACATAGGAAGCATCTTTTTTTCAGTGATCCAAGTCTAATAACTAACATGTGGCAAGGTAATTTCTTTCTACCTTCCTTCAATAACGAGGAAAATTATTAAATTTAATAATATATAAGTTAAATTCTAAAGTTCACCATTATTTTGACTTTCAAATGATCATTGGTGATGTTGACACTAAACCAATTTTTATTTTCATAATCTATGAATTTCTTTTTGGCATAACTATTTCTGTTAGCAGGCATATGGTGAGGCAAGGAAAATTGCAGTCAGATTCCTGCTGCATATGATTTATCAAAGAAAAAAGACATGAAATGGGTTTATTTTACCCTCATAGTTTACATACTAAGTATATCTTAAGTTTTCAAGTTCACAGTGTAACTTACTTATTTCCACAAGCGAAGTTAAATGGAAATTGTACATCCGTGCTTCTAGTAGTCTTGCTATTGTCTTGGTATCGGAATTTTAGACCAATATGATTTGCCAGGAATCCTTTGTATGCTAAACATAACTAAATAAGAAATATGCAAAAGAAAAAATCAATAACAACATCTTACCATTGCATTGTTTTGTAACAATTCAAATTAATTCAATCCAATTTAATAAATATTTATTGACTGTTTTCCATATAAAATGTATCAGAACACAGAGAAAGGGATGATTAATTTCAGCCAGTTACCATGCAAAAGAAAACTTCAAGAAGATTTTCTCAAAAAGGAAATGGACTTGAAGTGATCTCACAATTAATAATGAACTTTTTAATGTTTTCTTAGACATTGCTTCCTAACAAAACGGGAACAATTCACTCTCTATGGAGCTATGTACTAATAATTAAGTGCAGCTCTAACCGAAATGTGAGTAAATTTAGAAGTCCATTTCACATGAAGAGAGAGGAGAGGTAAACCTTCCAGTAGATTAATTTGAATCTGAATATGGTTGAGCATTTGGAAATGGACACGAATGTCACTGTAAAATAGTACTTAAATACCAATTTTAATGGCCACAACTCCTTAACCCATTGCCATCGAGTTGATTCCAACTTATAGTAAAACTGCCCCATAAGATTTCCAAGACTGTAATCTTAACTGAAGCAGACAGCCATATCCTTCGCCTGTGGAGCAGCTGGTGGAGTTCAAACTGCCAGCCTTTTGGTTAGCAGTTGGGTGCTTAACACTGCATGACCAGGGTGCCTTCCACAACTCCTCAGTCATATCAAATATACATTTTAGAACTTGTGTCACAATTTGAGAATTTTCAAGCAAGAGAAAGGGTAAACCTATGATCTGTAGTCTTAAATACCTATACTAAAACTGACAACTCTTGTGGTCATGAGTTTCTTTCAGTTTTCCCTGATTGGGTGCGTAAGATCACTTTATGAAGATCATCCGTTTTTGTTCCTTCTTAATTAGTGAAGGAAAATGGATGAGATAATACATTTTTGATGGTCTTAGTATTTAAGTTTATGTACATATGTTTTTGAGATTATGAGATAAACCAGAATACAAGATACATGGTGCTACATTTATATTTTCTTATCAGAGAATTACCATAAAGACAATAACAAGCATATAGAATGTGAACTGCAGTGCCTGTCCAGTGTGACATGATTTCACATGACACTTTTCCTTGTCTAAAAATTTTGTGAAATTTTATTACCAAGGTATTTTCCAGATTCAATTAGCATATCATTTTGTTTAGCTTACCTGATTATAAGGAAATAATAGAATGTCTCCATATGGTAGTCTGTTTGGTTTAACATCTGCTGAGTCAAAAAGAACAGCTGGGCTTTTCAGGGAATAACGACCACAGTAGGCATCAGTCTCGGCTGTCTTCTGCCCTCTATTAATATGTTCCTACAGAAACAATAATATTTCAAGTGAAAACATGATTTATCATCTTGCTTTATTCCCCAAAATCTCAACCCAAGGCCTTCAAGGTTCAACTTGGATCCCATTGCTCCTCAAACTACTTTAACTCAAAATGTTCTCTCTCTTCTCTAAAATTCTGAAGCATTTACCCTGGATCTAAAATCATATAATCCCTTGTACCTGTACTTGACTATTTCCCAAGTCCCATCTCTCTTCTTGAAGGAGCCCTGGTGGCACATTGGTTAAGTGCCCTGCTGCTAACCGAAAGGTCAGCAGTTCAGATGCACCAGTGGCTCCATAGAAGAAAGATGGGGCCGTCTGCTTCTGTAAAGATGGAAACTCCATGGGGGCAGTTCTACTCTGTCGTATAGGGTTGCTATGAGTTGGAATCGACTAGAAGGCAATGGGCAATGGGCATCTTTCTCCTTATAGTACAAGCTCCTTTAGGATAATTATCCATTCCCTCCACAAATGTTTATTCAGTGTTTACTGTCCACCAAGCTTTTGTTTTGTTTTGTTTTTGCTTTCTTTTTTTTATACATACGGTTCTATCTTTAGAAACAGGGCCCACCAGGCTGAGGTAGACAAACCAACAATTATACCAAGGTTGAAGAGAAGTATCTAACTCCCATAAATCGTCAACAAAGATAACTCAGAGAAAGTGACAGATGAGTTAAGTCTTTAAAGATAAACAGGAGTTACTCAAATGAAAAAAAGATGTCAAATGTGTTATTTAAATGGATAAAGGGGTCAAGGGGCTTCAGAGAAGGTAAAATATATACAAAGAAGCCAGGTGTGAGAGGGCCTGGGGCTGGGAAATGTAAATAGTTACGGTTAGGTAGAGGGTAGAATGTGTGTTGTGGCGGTGATGGGAAACGAAGCAGGAAAGGAGTATAATGTAAATTACTTGTGCATTCTTATGGCTGCTAGCACTACATTCAGGACAGGAGAACCAAAATGCACATAAAACCAAACCAAAACCTTTGCCCTCAAATCCATTCCAACTCATAACGACCCTATAACACAGAGTAGAACTGCCCCATAGGGTTTCCAAGGAGCAGCTGGCGGATTCAAACTGCCAACCTTTTGTTTAGCAGCCCAGCTCTTAACCACTGCACCACCAGGGCTCCAAAATACACATATATTTATTAAATTAAGTTGAAAAGGAAGCTCATTCAGTGGATTTTCCTTTTTTCTCACTAACAAGTCTCTTCTTATAAAGTATCATGTGATATATATTTTCAAAGATTCATATTTTTTTCTAGAGTATTGATCTGAATTGGGTAAGTAGCCTATGTATCTCTTATTCTTATAGTATTCACTTCTTCAAGTCTTCAAAATGGGAATTAGATAGGCGAGTGTATATTTAATTTTTTCTTTATTGTATATGAAAGAAAAATCTTATCTCACCAAGAAAGAAATAATGGCTAGGCATTGTACTAGTTGACTAGAGGGTAATCTCAAAAAGCAAAGGAAGTAATTTACTATGTAACACTCTACTACAAATTGTATTCTCTGAAGCCAGTGAGGAAAAAGGAAATACTCTGCATCTAAGTGAAACAAACAAACAAAAAAAACTTTGCAGATTTTACATCTGCCCAGCTTGCCTATTTTTCTGTTAATCAAGAAAATCCATCAGTGTGGCGGGAATACTGCTTTCACGAATGACTCATTTTATAATGCAGGAAGATGCTAGAATGCGCCTTACCAATACATGTATACCAAAATGATTTTTGCAATTTGACTTTGAATGGAAAATAATTAATGCTAGTTCAATGAAGAAATCACAAAATTTCAAACATATATATTAATTCTTATTAGATTATTTTCACAGTTCATTAAACATTCCATACCAGGTTAAAATCAGTTTCATAATCTCTGAAGTATTTCACAGCAAATCCTTCTTCAAAGTTTGCAATTTGTGGTGGACACTTGGCACTAACCATTTCCTCCACTGCTGCCTGAAACTAAATTAACAACGTGAGGAGTTAGAACATTAGTAGTTCTACTACTAATTCTACAAATAAGTTCTTGTAGAGAAATTTCATAAAATAATCCCCATATTTTAGCCATTATTATGAAATTATTTCCTAAATAAATTTAAGTTAGTATGTGATAATTTTAGTGTCCAATGACTTTTTCAAGAGTTTTATTTTAGAATGATATGTTGTTGTTATTGTTAGCTGCTATCGAGTTGCCTCTGACTCGGGGCGAGCTTACGCATAACAGAATGAAACATTGCCCAGTTCTGCTAATTGGCCAATATTAGTTTCCTTAGTTACTATATAAGGTAGACAAATTTATTTATTAGTTTTCTTAAAGCAAGCAATAAGGCAAATCTAAATGAATTAGCACCCAATTAAACAGACTCCAAATATATAGTTTTCCCAGTTAACTGAAAAAACTATACATTCCAATGCATTCTATTTGTTAAAAGGAGACATGGATACTGTAAATCTACATTTATGATTATTTTAAAAATAGTAAATAATTCTGAATTGTATAGGAATCAGTACATTTTCATGATATCCCCTGTAACTTCCATATCTATTTCTCTGGCAAAGAACAGTGATTACGATGTTTAGAATTGTGGACTTCAGACAACGTACGATCTGTAATCATCAAACAAATATTATACTTATTGGATAGGTAGTCCTCAAAATGCAGTAACTCACAAGTAAGCATTCCTTCTCTATGAGCAACTGCTCCCAGATAAAGATTCATTAGATTCTGCTGGCACAGGTGTACAAACTTCCCTTTCCTCCCTTTTGTCCTTGCGATCTTTCCTCCCTTCGCTACACTCTATGAGTTGGCTCCAACCAATCATGCCAAGTAGGAGAGTGTGTTATTACTCTTTAAAGTAATGTTTATATAATAGCTATGAACATTTAACAAGAGATTTATTTTTTTATTAACAAGAGATTTAAACTAAGCAAAACTTTACAGTTAAGCTTTTACTATATTACACCTCTCAAGGAATTGCTGCTTTTCTTTTACAGGTAACAAATAAAAATTTGAATGAACAATATTGGAGTGACTGGAGGGCCACAGAGTCTTTACGCAGAAGAAGAGGGAGGTCTTGAAGGCTTCAAGATCTCTCATCTAGAAAAAAGCGATCATTGTGCTGGATTGTTTGAGTCCCCTTTCAGCCAAAAATGTACAGGACATATAAATTGTGGGAAACGATTTGTAGTGATTTTTGAAAGAAATATCTCTTTCCAATCTGTCTACAAGTGGCCCATGAGTGCTGTGAGAGGACGCAGGGAAAATGCACGTATGAACATTCCCAGAACATACTTCAGCTTCTGATGACCATGAGGTAAGAGGCTTAGAAACAATCCCATCCCAACTCAGTGTGAATGTCTCCAAACTGGGTTTTCCTTTGGTTAGTTCTGTAACATCCAGTGTGATATTAGTCCCTTCAAATACTTCATAACCGAGTAGATCAAAGTCTCCTGCAATGAATATCAATTAAAAATTTTAAATGCTAATGACTAAAATACCAGTATATCTACAATAGACACCAGGTTTAGCCAAATTGGTTTTATATCGAGTTTTATATCACAAAAGAAGATGAATGGGGAAGATGCAGATCCTTGAGTTTGAGCAGATTTAGCTACAGCAGAAATAACAAAATAGCAAACAAAATGTTACTCACTTAAGGTTCGGTTTTTATGGCTTAAAAAGGTAGTATTGTAAAATAAGCTGAAGGATATATTGTGGCCAAAAGGTAAAGATCAACAGGCAGTAGATATTTAAAAATTCTTTTAGTTTTTTTTTGCCAGTGGCTATTACCTTAGTGAAAGGGGCTAGCTTGGGATATTGCTATTTTCTTTAGACATGAATAGGCCCAAAGCTGAATTCCAGGAAATACCCCGAGGCCTGTGAGGCTAATTTAGACAATGTCACTTTGACAGCAATAAAGATTTGCCCTCAGATGTTTCTCCTCTTCAGGAGAATGCTTTACCAGTGGAATTCCACTGACCTTCTTTGTTGGGTAAGGTCAGAGAATTTACCCAGTTGTGATTCTGGTACCATATTTTTTAAGGTCTCTGCTGAAGCCTTAAAAATTTCTCTGTGATTTATAAATATTTTCCTGAGAGAATAAGGGTGATCATATCTTCATTTATATAGTATTTTCACAATCTAGCTTTTGGAAAAATTTAGGAAGTTCAATTCAAGTTAACCAAAATTCTTCACCCTCCACTCAACAATCAAATTAACAATTTCATAAAAATGATATATAAAAATCAAAGAAACATTTTACTTATATATGAATCAGAAAAAAATGATTGCCCAAAGAAAACTAAAAACAAACCAAAAACCTAATAAAACACATTCAAGGAACTATTTCATAAGCTAGATATGCCAAATAGCCAAAAGGATTGCTAAATGTGGTTTAAGGTAGAATGTCTATCCCAGTATTTCCAAAAGCATCTTGAGTAAAACATTAATTTAAAAGGAAGTTAATAGCTGTTACTTGAAAAACAAAAGAGGGGAGTAGAGATGTCAAATAAATTTGGAAAACGCTGCATTAAACACAGGTGAACTTTTTCTTTTGCAGAGATTTTAATACTCTAATGAGCTCTGTCAATCTTCAAGGTATGCAGGTATGCAGCATTTCCCATGTGAACTGACCACAGAATACTTTCATCAGGTAAGATCTAGTCAGATTAGTGTCTCCTTGACAATGCTGATGTAGTTAAATTTCATTTCCAGAATATTTTTTTAACTAATTTTTGCTGATTTTATAAAGTTGGCTATCACATTGGCAAAGCATTTGTAGTGCATACAATGCATTTCTCATGCATTGGAGTTGTACATCCCTTAGAAGACAACTAAACTATAAATTATCATAGGAAAAAATAATTATTTAGTTTCTATTTCTTATAAAAGTGATCAAGACATGAATCCAAATCTTTTCCCCTGTTATTTTACAAAACTTTTCCTTTTTCAGTGGAATTGCACAGGCTATATATTGGATTCCTAGAGTAAACATTATAGAAGTATAAACTGAAATACATGCTTACCTCTAGTTGATAAAAAGGTTATCATGTAGGTATAGCTCTCAGGGTTTTGTGTCCTTATTACTTGAACTGTATCTGGTTTTATAGACCAGAGGTCATTTAGGGCTGATTGCAGCATCAAGTCAGAAGCATCAGCCGGCAGCAAAACTTTTGGATGAATTTAAAAAAAAAAAAAAATGTTGAAACATTTCTGGACTACCACAGCCTACACTGATGTCTTACATTTGAATTTGTAAAACACCTGTAGTCTGTACCATATAAATTATCACTGAATGAAATGTTATGAAATTGATACAAGTTTAATAATGTTGACACCATAATTGGATTGTGATTTTTTTTATTTTATTATGCTTCAGGTGAAAGTGTATAGCACAAATTAGTTTCTCATTCAAAAATTTATACACAAATGCTTTGTGACACTGGTGTAATCCTCACTATGAGTCAGCACTCTACCCTTTCCACCCCAAGTTCCCCATGTCCATTTGTCCCGTTTTCTTGCCCTTCCTGTCTTCTCATCTTTGCTTTCGGACACGTGTTGCTCATTTGGTCTCGTACAGTTGATTGAACTAAGAAGCACATTCCTCATGTGTCTTTTGTTTGTTTTATAAGCCTGTCTAATCTTCTGTGAAAGGTGAACTTTGAGAATGGCTTCAGTTCTGAGTTAGAAGGGTGTCTGGGGGCCATAGTCTCAGAGTTCCTCTAGACTCTGTCAGGCCAGTAATTCTAGTCTTGTTTTGTGAATTTGAATTTTGCTTCACATTTTTCTCCTGCTCTGTCCAGGACCCTGTATTGTGATTCCTGTCAGAGTCATCGGTGGTGGTAGCAGAGCACCATATAGTTCTTCTGGGTTCAGGCTGGAGGAGGCTGTGATTCATGTGGTGCATTAGGTCTTTAGACTAATATTTTCCTTTTGTCTTTGGTTTTCTTCATTCTCCTTTGCTTCAGGCTGGATGGGACCAATAGTTGTATCTTAGATGGCCATTCGCAAACTTTTAAGACCCCAGACACTACTCACCAAAGTAGGATTTACAACATTTTCTTTATGAGCTATGTTATGCCAATTAACCTAGATGTCCCCCAAGACCACGGTCCCTAGCCCTCAGCCCCAGTAACTTGGTCCCTCAAGGTGTTTGGATGTGTCTAGGAAGCTTCTATGACATTGCCTTGGTCAAGCTGTGCTGACTTGCCCTGTATTGTGTGTTGGTCTTTCCCTTCACCAAAGTTAACACTTGTCTACTATCTAGTTAGTGATTCCCCTTCCCTTCCTCATAACCATCAAAGATTGTTTGTTTTTTTCTGTGCATAAACCTTTTCTTAAGTTTTTATAATAGTGGTCTCATACAATATTTCTCCTTTTGTGATTGACTTACTTCATTCAGCATAACACCCTTCAGATTCATCCATGCTGTGAGATGTTTCACAGATTCATCACTGTTCTCTACCACTGCATAGTGTTCCACTGTGAGTATGTACCATAGTTTGTTTGTCCATTCACCTGTTGATGGGCACTTAGGTTGTTTCCATCTTTTTGCTATTGTGAATAATGGTGCAATGAACATGGGTGTGCATATGTCTATTCGTGTGATGGCTCCTACTTCTCCACAATACATCTTGGAGTGAGACTGCTGGATCATATGGTATTTCTATTTCTAGCTTTTTAAGGAGGTGCCATATCATTTATCATAGTGGTTGTACCATTTTGCATTCCCACCAGCAGTGCGTAGGAGTTCCAATCTCCTCGAAACCTCTCCAACATTTGTTATTTTCTGTTTTTGTTTTCTTTCTGATTAGTGCCAGCAATGTGGGAGTGAGATGGTATCTCATTGTAGTTTTGATTTGCATTTCTCTAATGGCTAATGATCTTGAGCATTTCCTCATGTGTCTGTTAGCCACCTGAATGTCTTCTCTTTGGTGAACTGTCTGTTCACATCCTTTGCCTATTTTTAAATTGGATTATTTGTCTTTTTGTTGTTGAGATCTTGAAGTATTCTATAGATTTTAGAGATCAGACCCTTGTCAGATATTTCACAGCCTACATTTTTTTTTCCCAGATGGTAGGTTCTCTTTTTACTTTTTGGTGAAGTCTTTTGATGAGCATAAGTGTTTACTTTTAGGAGCCCCCAGTTATCTAGTTTATCTTCTGTTGTTTGTGCATTGTTAGTTATGGTTTGTATTCCATTTATGTCATCTATTAGGGTCCCTAACATTGTCCCTATTTTTTCTTCTATGATCTTTATCATTTTAGGTTTTATATTTAGGTCTTTGATCCATTTTGAGTTAGTTTTTGGGCATGGTGTGAGGTATGAGACCTGTTTCATTTTTTTACAGGTGGACATTCAGTTTTGCCAGCACCATTTGTTAAAAAGACTGTCCTTTCCCAATTTAATCGACTTTGGTCCATTGTCAAAGATAAGCTGAGCATTGTTGTTAGGTGCCATCAAGTTGGTTCCGACTCACAGTGACCCTACGTACCACAGAACAAAACACTGCCCAGTCCTGCGCCATGCTCACAATCATTATGCTTGAGTGCATTGTTGCAGCCACTGTGTCAATCCATCTTTTTGAAGGTCTTCCGCTTTTTCACAGATGCTGTACTTTACCAAGCATAATGTCCTTCTCCAGAGACTGATCCCTCCTGACAACATGTCCAAAGTATGAAAGATGTACTCTTGTCATCCTTGCTTCTAAGGAGCATTCTGGTTGTACTTCTTCCAAGACAGATTTGTTCGTTCTTTTGGCAGTCCATGGTATAGTCAATACTCTTCACCAACACCACGATTCAAAGGCGTCAATTCTTTGGTCTTCCTTATTCATTGTCCAGCTTTCGCACGCATATGATGTGATTGAAAAAACCATGGCTTGGGTCACGTGCACCTTAGTCTTTAAGGAGACATTTTTGCTTTTCAACACTTTAAAGAGATCTTTTGCAGCAGATTTGCCCAATGCAATATGTTGTCTGATTTCTTGACTGCTGCTTCCATGGGTGTTGATTGTAGAACCAAATAAAATGAATTCCTTGACAACTTCAATCTTCTCTCTTTATCATGACGTTGCTTATTGATCCAGTTGTGAGGATTTTAGTTTTATTTATGTTAAGGTGGTCTTCGATTTTCATCAGTAAATGCTTCAAGTCCTTTTCACTTTCAGCAAACAAGGTTGTATCATCTGCATAACACAGGTTGTTAATGAGTCTTCCTCCAATCCTGATGCCCCGTTCTTCTTCATATAGTCCAGCTTCTCTGATTATATGCTTAGCATACAGATTGAATAGGTGTGGTGAAAGGATACAACCCTGATGCACACCTTTCCTGACTTTAAACCATGCAGTATGCCCTTGTTCTGTCCAAACAACTGCCTCTTGATCTATGTACAGGTTCCACATAAGTACAATTAAGTGTTCTGGAATTCCCATTCTTCACAATGTTATTCATAATTTGTTATGATCCACAGAGTCAAATGCCTTTGCATAGTCAATAAAACACAGGTAAACATCTTTTTGGTATTCTCTGCTTTCAGCCAGGATCCATCTGGCATCAGCAATGATATCCCTTGGTTCCATGTCCTCTTCTGAATCTCGGCTGAATTTCTGGCAGTTCACTGTTGATGTACTGCTGCAGCTGCTTTTGAATGATCTTCAGCAAAAGTTTACTTGCATGTGATATTAATGATATTGTTTGATAATTTCTGCATTCGGTTGGATCACCTTTCTTGGGAATAGGCATAATATGGATCTTTTCCAGTTGGTTGGCCAGGTAGCTATTTTCCAAATTTCTTGGCATAGGCAAGTGAGCACTTCCAGTGCTGCATCCGTTTGTTGAAACATCTCAGTTGGTATTCCGTCAATTCCTGGAGCCTTGTTTTTCGCCAATGCCTTCAGTGCAGCTTGGACTTCTTCCTTCAGTACCATTGGTTCCTGATCATATGTTACCTCTTGAAACAGTTGAATGTCGACCAATTCTTTTTGGTATAGTGATCCTGTGTATTCCTTCCATCTTTTTTGATGTTTCCTGCATCATTTAATATTATCCCATAGAATCCTTCACTATTGCAACTCGGGGCTTGAATTTTTTCTTCAGTTCTTTCAGCTTGAGAAATGCTGAGTGTGTTCTTCCCTTTTGGTTTTCTATCTCCAGCTCTTTGTACATGTCATTATAATACTTTACTCTGTCTTCTCGAGCCACCCGTTGAAATTTTCTGTTCAGTTCTTTTACTTCATCATTTCTTCCTTTTGCTTTAGCTACTCAATGTTCAAGAGCAAGGAGTCTCTTCTGACATCCATTTTGGCCTCTTCTTTCTTTCCTGTCTTTTTAATGACCTCTTACTTTCTTTACATATGATGTCCTTGATGTCATTCCACAACTCATCTGGTCTTCAGTCATTAGAGCTCAATGCATCAAATCTATTCTTGAGATGGTCTCTAAATTCAGGTGGAATATACTCAAGGTCGTACTTTGGCTCTCATGGATTTGTTCTAATTTTCTTCAGCTTCAACTTGAACTTGCATATGAGCAACTGATGGTTCTGTTCCACAGTCGGCCCCTGGCCTTGTTCTGACTGATGATATTGAGCTTTTCCATCATCTCTTTCCACAGATGTAGTCAATTTGATTCTTATGTATTACGTCTGGCGAGGTCCACATGTACACTTGCCGTTTATGTTGGTGAAAAGAGGTATTTGCAATGAAGAAGTTGTTGGTCTTGCAAAATTCTATCATGCAATCTCCAGCATCGTTTCTATCACCAAGGCCATATTTTCCAACTACAGATCCTTCTTCTTTGTTTCCAACTTTCACATTCCAATCACCAGTAATTATCAATGCATCCTGATTGCATGTTCAATCAATTTCAAACTGCAGCAGCTGGTAAAAATCTTCACTTTCTTCATCTTTGCCCTTAGTAGTTGGTGCATACATTTGAATAATAATCAGATTAACTGGTCTTCCTTGTAGGCATATGGATATTATCCTATCACTGACAGCATTGTACTTCAAGATAGATCTTGAAATGTTCTTTTTGACAATGAATGCAATACCATTCCTCTTCAAGTTGTCATTCCCAGCATAGTAGACCATATGATTGTCCAATTCAAAATAGCAGTCCATTTCAGCTCACAAATGTCTAGGTCTATCGATGTTTATGTGTTCCATTTCATTTTTGATGATTTCTAATTTTCCTAGATTCACACGTCGTACATTCCACATTCCAATTATTAATGGATGTTTGCAGCTGTTTCTTCTCATTTTGAGTCGTGCCACATCAGCACATGAATTCCTGAAAGCTTGACTCCATCCACATCATTAAGGTTGACTCTACTTTGAGGAGGCAGCTCTTCCCTAGTCGTCTTTTGAGTGCCTTCCAACCTGTGGGGCTCATCTTCCGGCACTATATCAGACAATGTTTCGCTGCTGTTCATAAGGTTTTCACTGGCTAGTTCTTTTCAGAAGTAGACTGCCAGGTCCTTCTTCCTACTCCGTCTTAGTCTGGAAGCTCAGATGAAACCTGTCCACCATGGGTGACCCTGGTGGTATCTGAGTACCGGTGGCATAGGGTCCAGCATCACGGCAACATGCAAGCCCCCACAGCATGACAAACTGACAGACTAGTGGAGGAGCTGACCATAGGTGGATGGATTTACGGCTGGGTTCTTGATACTGTTCCATTGGTCTATGAGTCTGTTGCTGTTCCAGTACCAGGCTGTTTTGACTACCGAGGCTGTACAGGAGGTTTTGAGATCAGGTGGTGTGATGCATCCTACTTTGTTTTTTACCTCAATAATGCTTGGTTTATCTGGGGCCTTTTTCCTTTCCATATAAAGTTGATGACTAGTTTTTCCACATCATTAAAGAATGCTGTTGGTATTTGAATCAGGATTGCATTGTATCTGTATATTGCTTTGAGTAGAATTGACATTTTCAAAATGTTGAGTCTTCCTATCCATGATCATGGTATGTTTTTCCATTTATGTAGGTCTCTTTTGGTTTCTTACAGTACTGTTTTGTAGTTTCTTTGTATAGGTCTTTTACCTCCCTGGTTAGATTTATTCCTAAGTATTTTATCTTTTTAGGGGCTATTATAAATGGTATTGTTTTCTTGATTTCCTTTTTGAAGTTCTCTTTGTTGGTGTACAGGAAGTGGATTGTGATCTTCTTGAGGATAGGGATCATATATTATTGTTCAAATATTCTCATAGCAATGAGCAGTGTATTAGGGAACCAGTAAGCACTCATCAACATGAAAACAATTAACAAAAATAACAAAAAAAGGCTTTCTAAGATATGTTACAAAATACAGAAACATAATATTGTTTATTAATTGATGAATATGTGTCTCAATATGTGTTAAATAATTTGAGAAATTGAAAGAAATGTTCACTCCTCTGTTAGGATGAATTTACCTTCTATTATCTTAACTTATACCTATGAGTCACAAAATATATAAAATCCTATGAGCATTTATCCATATTTATTATGATCCTTATAGAAGAAAATGATGGTATGTACTAGAAAGCTGTTTGTATTGATGGCATTTTCTGTCCTAGTCTACTAAAAGTAAAGAACACCTTTCTTCATGTTTTTCTGCTCCTTTTCCTAGCATACCATTAAAATTATATTTTCCAAACAGAATTTGATGAGAGTAAAACTTTTCTCTATTACAATGACATCCACACATGGAGAGAAATAAAATCTCCCTTATTTTTGGAACTTACCTGTTTTTTCCATGTTATAGATTAATCTGTATTGGTAAAGTGAACATGAATTAGCTTTCACACAAGGGCTGATTACCATGATCTTCTGAACTTCATTAGTTGCATCAGTTGTTTCCCAGTTTTCCAATGTTATAACCTATTTTCCAATAAAAAAATATTTTTACAATGTCAGAAAACTTTAAAAGTATCATAATTCAGCTATCCAATGCTTTTTTATTGTTCTATTTTACTGCAAATGATAAAATGATATTTTAAAATATTTAAAAACTTGAGACAGGGCCAAGATAGTGGAGTAGTCAGATGCTTTCTGTGAACCCTCTTTCAACAAAGACCAAAAAAAAAAAACAAGTGAATTGATTATATATGACAATCTAGGAGCCCTGAATAACAAAGGCAAAGTTGAGGAATTGGACTGAGCAGTACGGGCAGGGAGAGACGGTTCAGAAGAAGCGAGGAGTTGCCAGACCTGACCCGGCGGTAACCAACATCCTGTAGGATAGATTGGCTGGCATGTGCGGTGAGGCAAGCAGTGGCACTTGGAATGCATTTTCCACATTGGGAGACACCAAGCAGTGGAGAGTCTGCTTAACCTTCCAGAACTGAGAGAAGTGACGTTCAATTGGCAAGAGATAAGTACATGCGTCTAACCTACCTCGTGGTTCAAAAAACACCCCCTTTGGGAAGAACCTATCTCCCATACCCTCCCCGCTCTGCACTGGGTCCAGGCTGGCATCAATGATTGTCGCATCCCCTGGGCCAGAACTAGGACCTGTTGCATGCCCTGAGCCATTCTCCCAGCTTTGGAGATGGAAGAAATTAACAAACAGGAAAAAATAATCTGCCGGCTCCCCTAAGATAGGAACTCAGGGCAGGCGCAGCTACTTTGCCTAGACACAGGCATAAGGGGTCCATTGACTTTGAATGATTTTCACCCCTGCATAGACTTGCGTGGGCGCATTTCAACAGCGTAGGCCCTCATTAGCACAGTACAACAGGGTACATACCTGAAGCCTAATTTCAACTTTATCAGCTATAAGGTGTAGTGGCAGAATCATAATATTTGACATTGCTCTGCCCATTAAGCAGGGTACCTTTCCTACCCACTTCAGGGACCTGAGGACTGGTGGCTCCACCATGCCACCTAGCCACCCACTACAGGGGTCCAAGAATAAGTGGTGCCTCTGAGTCCTTATAGCCACAGCTCTGGATGCCCTTAGTCTGGTCAAAACCCACCCACATATACGCTGTAGGGAACAGGGACACACTTTCCTCCCAGACACTCAGGGGCAGCCATCAGCCCCCTGCCTTGCTCAGTGCATGATCCCCAACTGCAGCCAGATGCCTGTGCCTACACCAATCACCCATGCCTGTCTAGGACTGTAGGTGAGAGCCTGCACCACACACTTAGTGAATGACTACCCGGACAAAGGAGCTGAATTCATACAAGAAAATAAACAGACTCCTGGGCTCACATACCTAATAACAGATCTAACCACCTGGTGACAGGACGTTAGAGCTTCAAAGGCACCAATAATCAGACTAGCTCACATGAGCAGCCTATTTGGGCATATCAAAACAAAACAAGAAGCTAGGACACAGTAAGCAAACATAAAATAAATAAATATAATAATTCACTGATAGCTCAGAGACAACAGTGAATATCAAATCACGTAAAGAGGCAGACCGTGATAGCTTCAGCAAGCACCCAAAACATAGATTCAAGAAATCTTCCAGAGGAAGACAACTTCTTGGAATTATCGGAGATAGAGTCGAAAAGATTAATATACAGAGCTCTTCAAGAGATCAGGAAGGAGATCATGCAAAACACAGAACAAGCTAAGGAACACACAGACAAAGCAACAGAGAAACTTGAAAAGGTTATACAAGAGTGTAATGACAAATTTAACAGGCTGCAGGAATCCATAGAGGACAGCAAACAGAAATCCAGAAGACTAACAATAAAATTTCAGAATTAGACAACTCAATAGTAAGTAATAGGAGCAGAATTGAGGCAATGGAAGTTAGAATTAGTGAGACTGACGATAAAGCACTTGATACAAACTTATTTGAGGAAATATCAGATAAAAGAATTTTAAAAAATGAAGAAACCCTAAGAATTATGTGGGAGTCTATCAAGAGGAATAACCTACAAGTGATTGGAGTATCAGAACAGAGGAGAATAACAGAAAATACAGAGAAAATTGTTGAACATTTGCTGGCAGAAAACTTCCCTGATATCATCAAAGATGAGAAGATATCTATCCAAGATGCTCATCAAACACCAAATAAGGTAGATCCCAAAAGAAAGTCACCAAGACATATTATAATCAAACTTGTCGAAACCAAAGATAAAAGAGAGAATTTTAAGAGCAGCTAGGGATAAACGAAAAGTCATCTACAAAGGAGAGTCAATAAGACTGAGCTCGGACTACTCAGCAGAAACCATGCAGGCAAGAAGTCAATGGGATGACATATATAAAGACTTAAAGGAAAAAAATTCCCAGCCAAGAATTATACATCTAGCAAAATTGTGTCTCAAATACAATGGTGAAACTAGGGCATTTCCAGATAAACAGAAGTTTAGGGAATTTGTAAAAAAACAAACCAAAATTACGAGAAATACTAAAGGGAGTCCTCCGGTTAGAAAATCAATAACATCAGATAACAACCCAAGACTAGAACACAGGACAGAACAACCAGATATCAATCCAGATAGGAAAGTCACTAAAATAAATCAAAGCTAAAACACTAAAAATAAGGAAACAGATGTCAATATGTAAAAGATGACAGCACTAAAACAAAAAAGAGGGACTAAAAAAATGTAGTCATAGATCTTTCATACCGAGAGGAAGTCAAGGCAATAAAAAGAAATAAGATTGGTTTAAACTTAGAAACATAGAGGTAAATACTAAGGTAACCACAAAGGAAACTAACAACCCTACACATCAAAATAAAAAACAAGAAAAACAGAAAGACTCAGCAAATACAAAATCAACAACAATGAAAAGGATGAAAAGAAAATACATACAGAAAAACGATTCAGCACAGAAAATTAAGTGGAACAAAGAAACTGTCAACAACACACATACATACACACACACACACACAAACAACAATATGACAGCACTAAACTCTTGCCTACCAATAATTATGCTGAATGTAAATGGAATAAATGCATGAATAAAGAGACAGAGAGTGGTAAAATGGATAAAAAACCACGATCCATCTATATGCTGCCTACAAGAGACACACCTTAGACTTAAAGACACAAACAAACCAAAACTCAAAGGATGGAAAAAAATATATCAAGCAGACAACAATCAAAAAAGAGCAGGAGTGGCAATATTAATCTCTGACAAAATAGACTTTAAAGTAAAATACCCCACAAAGGATAAGGAGGGACACTATATAATGATTAAAGGGTCCATATACCAGAAGGACATAACCATAATAAATATTTACGCACCCGATGACAGGGCTCCAAAATATATAAAACAAACTATAACAGCACTGAAAAGAGAAATAGACAGCTTCACAATAATAGTAGGAGACTTCAAAACACACCACTTTCAGTGAAGACAGAACATCCAGAAAGAAGCTCAATAAAGATATGGAAGATCTAAATGCCACAATCAACCAACTTGATCTCACAGACATATACAGAACAGTCCACCCAACAGCAGCCAAGTATACTTTCTTTTCCAACGCACGTGGAACATTCTCCTGACTAGACCACATATCAGGCTACAAAGCAAGCCTTAACAGAATCCAAAGCATCGAAATACTACAAAGCATCTTTTCTGACCATAAAGCCATAAAACTAGAAATCAATAACAGAGAAAGCAAGAAAAAAAAATCAAACACATGGAAACTGAACAACACTTTGCTCAAAAACTACTGGGGTATAGAAGAAATTAAGGATGAATAAAGAAATTCACAGAATCAAATGAGAAGGAAAAGACATCCTACCAACCTTTCTGAAAACACAACCTACCAGAAAAGCAGTGCTCAAAGGTCAATTTATAGCAGTAAATGCACACATACAAAAAGAAAGGGCCAAAATCAAATATTAACCCTACAACTCAAACAAATAGAAAGAGAGCAGCAAAAGAAGCCTTTGAGCACCAGAAGAAAGCAAAAAATAAAAATTAAAGCAGAATTAAATGAAATAGAGAATAGAAAAACAATCGAAAGAGTTAACAAGACTAAAAGCTGGTTCTTCGAAAAGATCAACAAAATCGATAAACCACTGGCCAAACTGACAAAAGAAAAACAGGAGACGAAGCAAATAACCCGAATAAGAAATGAGACAGGTGATATCACAACAGACCAAACTGAAATTAAAAGAATCATAACAGAATACTATGAAAAATTGTACTCTAACAAATTTGAAAACCTAGAGGAAACGGACAAATTTTTAGAAACACACTACCTACCTAAACTAACACAAACAGAGGCAGAAAAATTATATAAACCTATACAAAAGAAGAGATTGAAAAGGAAATTAAAAAACTCTTAACAAAAAATAAGCCCTGGCCCTGATGATTTCACTGAAGAATTCTACTGAACTTTCAAAGAAGAGTTAACACTAGTACTACTAAAGGTATTTCAGAACATAGAAAAGGATGGAATACTCCCAAACTTATTCTATGAAGCCAGCATAACCCTGATAACAAAACCAGGTAAAGACATCACAAAAAAAGAAAATTACAGACCAATATCCCTCATGAACATAGACGCAAAAATCCTCAACAAAATTCTAGCCAATAGAATTCAGCAACATATCAAAAAAATAATTCACCACAACCAAGTGGTATTCATACCAGGTATGCAGGGATGGTTGTACACTAGAAAAACAATCAATGTAATCCATCACATAAATAAAACAAAAGACAAGAACCACATGATCTTATCAATGGATGCAGAGAAGGCTTTTGACGAAGTCCAACATCCATTCATGATAAAAAATTCTCAACAAAATAGGAATAGAAGGGAAATTCCTCGACATAATTAAGGGCATTTATACAAAGCCAACAGCCATCATCATCCTAAATAGAGAGAGCCTGAAAACATTCCACTTGAGAACAGGAACCAGACAAGAATGCCCTTTACCACCACTTTTATTCAACATTGTGCTGGAGGTCCTAGCTAGAGTAATTAGGCTAGAAGAAGAAATAAAGGGCATCCAAATTGGTAAGGAAGAAGTAAAAGTATCTCTATTTGCAGATGATATGACCTTATACAAAGAAAACCCCAAAGAATCCACAAGAAAACTACTGGAACTAACAGAAGATTTCAGCAAAGTATCAGGATACAAGATAAACATACAAAAATCAGTTGCATTCCTCTACACTAACAAAGAGAACTTCCAAGAGGAAATCACCAAATCTATACCATTTAAAATAGCCCCCGAGAAGATAAAATACTTAGGAATAAATCTAACCAGAGACATAAAAGACCTCTACAGTGAAAACTACAAGACACTACTGCAAGAAACCAAAAGAGACCTGCATAAGTGGAAAAACATATCTTGCCCATGGATAGGAAGACTCAACATTGTGAAAATGTCAATTCTACCCAAAGCGATCTACAGATACAATGTAATCCTGATCAAATTCCAATGGCATTTTTTAATGAGATGGAGAAACAAATCACCAACTTCATATGGAATGGGAAGAAGTCCTGGATAAGCACAGCATTACTGAAGAAGAACAAAGTAGGAGGACCCACACTACCTGATTTTAGAACCTATTATACTGCCAAGGTAGTCAAAACAGCCTGGTACTGGTATAACAACAAATAGATAGACCAATAGAACAGAATTGAGAATCCAGACGTAAATTCATCCACCTATGAGCAGCTGACATTTGACAAAGGCCCAAAGTCTGTTCAGTGGGGAAAATATAGTCTCTTTAACAAATGGTGCTGGCATACCTGGATATCCACCTGCAAAAAAATGAAACAAGACCCATACTTCACACTATGCACAAAAACTAACTCAAAATGGATCAAAGACCTAAATATAAAATCTAAAACAATAAAGATCAAGGAAGAAACAATAGGGACAACGCTAGGAGCCCTAGTACACGGCATAAATAGAATACAAAACATTACTAACAATGCATAGACACAGAAGGGAAATTAGATAACTGGGAGTTCCTAAAAATCAGACACTTCGGCTCATCAAAAGACTTCACGAAAAGAGTAAAAAGACAACCTACAGACTACGAAAAAATTTTAGGCTATGACAAATCCAATCAGCATCTAATCTCTAAAATCTACAAGATACTGCAAAACCTCAACAACAAAAAGACAAGTAACCTAATTAAAAAACAGGCAAAGGATATGAACAGGCACTTCACCAAACAAGACATTCAAGCGGCTACCAGATACATGAGGAAATGCTTATGGCCATTAGACATTAGAGAAATGCAAATCAAAACTACAATGAGATACCATCTCACCCCAACAAGGCTAGCATTAATCCAAAAGACACAAAATAGTAAATGTTGGAGAGGTTGAGGAGATTGGAACACTTATACACTGCTGGTGGGAATGTAAAATGGTACAACCACTTTGGAAATTGATTTTTTGCTTCCTTAAAATCTAAAAATAGAAGTACCATATGATCAAACAATCCCACTCCTTGGAATATATCCTAGAGAAATAAGAGCCATCACACAAATAGATATACTTACACCCATGTTCATTGTAGCACTGTTCACAATAACAAAAAGATGGAAGCAACCTAGGCGCCCATCAACAGACAAATGGGTAAGTAAATTTGGTATATTCACACAATGGAATACTATGCAACGATAAAGAACACTGATAAATCCGCGAAACATCTCACAACATGGATGAATCTGGAAGGCATTATGCTGAGTGAAATTATTCAGTCACAAAAGGACAAACATTGTATGAGACCACTATTATAAGAATTCAAGAAAAGGTTTAAACACAGAAGAAAACATTCTTTGATGGTTACGAGGGTTGGGAGGGAGGGAGAGGGGTATTCACTAGATAGTAGACAAGAATTATCTTAGGTGAAGGGAAGGACGACACACACTACAGGGGAAGTCAGCACAACTGGACTAAACCAAAAGCTAAGAAGTTTCCTGAATACAACCAAACACTTCGAGGGACAGAGTACCAGGGATGAGGGTCTGAGGACCATGGTTTCAGGGGACATCTAGGTCAACTGGCATAACAAAGTTTAAGAAAATGTTCTGCATCCCACTTTGGTGAGTGGCGTTTGGGGTCTTAAAAGCTAGCAAGTGGCCATCTAAGATATATCAATTGGTGCCAACCCACCTGGAGCAAAGGAGAATGAAGAACACCATAGGCACAAGGAAAATATTAGCCAAGAAAAGGCCACATAAACGAGAGACTCCATCAGCCTGAGACCAGAAGAACAGATGGTGGCATAGCTAGCACCAATGACCGCCTGACAGGGAACACAACAGAGAGTCCCTGACAGAGCAGGAGAAAAGTGGGGTGCAGAACTCAAATTCGAGTAAAAAGACCAGACTTAATAGTCTGACCGAGCCCGGAAGGACCCCAGAAGACATGGCCCCTGGACTCTCCGTTAGCCCAGAACTGAAACCATTCCCAAAGCCAACTTTTCAGACATAGATTAGACTGGACTATAAGACCTAAAATGATACTCGTTGAGAGCGTTGCTTCTTAGCTCAAGTAGATACATGAGACTAAATGGGCAGGTCCTGTCCGAAGGCAAGATGAGAAGGCAAAAACAGACAGGAGCTGGCTGAATGGACACGGGAAATCCAGGGTGGAAAGGAGGAATGTGCTGTCCCATTATAGGGAGAGCAGCTAGGGTCACAAAGCAATGTGTGTATAAATTTTTGTATGAGAAACTGACTTAAATTGTACATTTTCACTTAAAGCACAATAAAATAATAATAAAAAAAAATTTAAAAACTTAAAAAGTCCTACCAAGGAACAGCCTCTTTAGCTTACAACACAGATAGTCCAAGCCATGGACAATTTTATTGTTGTCCATGACTGCTTTCCCCTCAAAACAGCATCTCACCTAACAAAACTAATAACTGAATAGACCTCCTATCTTTGGACATTTACTTTCAGTAAAGTGGATTCATAATCGTAACAAACCTGTACTTCCTGAACCATTGTCGACTGGGATTTGATAACTTGCTCTTCATTTACTGCATCTCCTGTTTGTTGTTCAGTATAGACATTTGTAGACTGGTACAGTCCAAAATCAACAAAAGCACTTAGTCTATATTCCTGCAGCAATATTTCAATGTAATATCTGGAAATGAGAATAACTAATGAAAACAATTTTTTTCAGAACATTTGTCATAATATTTTTTCTCAGTGAATAAAATTTCAACACTATGTTTAAAAATCTGCCTGTTACATGATTTATATTTTAGTGCCCCTGCTTTTAAATATTAAAATATTAAAGGATTCAGAGGAGTTTGCTAATATGAAAAGTATTCTGTAAGATATCAGTAGAGTTGTATCAGATATCAATACAGTTATTCTCATTCATGATCACTTCATGCAGTTTAGTCAATAAATGCTTACTGAGGTTACTATTCCTATCCTCAGGGAGCTTAAAATAGAGTAACACTGTAGATTATAATATTAACTCACTGGCAAACAACTCAGAGGATATGCATAAGTGAAATACTTAATGTGTAAAAGAAAGTAATAGGCAGACTTACACATACATTTTGTAACTAAGCAGTTGTATGTGTCAAGGTTGAAAGTTCCTACCATCATGTATCTTAAATTTTGGCTCCACTTGTAACTTGGACAATGAAACATTGCCTCACGAAACCATTACTGATTAGATTGACAGTAACCCTCCCACCTGCTGGACAGGATTCACACATTATGCTTAGAATTGTTGATTCCTGAGGCCTCCTTGCACATTACACAACTGTTCACCCAGGATAAGGTGTTCACTCACCAGTTGCCACCGGCTAGTGCAAGGCTACTGCTGCCTTGCCTAAACCTCCACTAATGTCATCATTGCACCCATCTCTGGAGAGGCCAGCTGCTAGTTCCTCTAAATTGCTTATCACATCACTCAAAACTCACCAAAGTTTGGAGTGATTTGTTACACAGCAAAATCTAACAGATAAAAGTAATAAATGGAAGATGATCTCCTCAATGCATCTTTGATGTTTTCCATGTACGTTAGCCTTTTGAGTAAATCATGTCTTTTACCCTCCTGTTTTCTAGGGATCCTGAACGAGCTTTAAAATGCGATTATCTGCTATTTAGATGATATCCTCATTTGCTCTCTGGACTTGACCTTTCAGCACTAAATGATGTGCTTCTTTAGAGCAAGGAGTGTATTTTAATATCCTTTGTATTAAATTTCCAGTACCTAGCACAGAGCCTGGAATATATCAGTAGATAATAAATACGTGTTAACAGTGGCACCAATTCATGTGGTCCTGTGATCTTTCTCTAGCAGTGTATTGAATAAAAGGTCCTAGAAAAGGACTAAAAATAGAATTAAATAAATTTCACAGAATTATAATTCTGCAACAGGGATTATTTAGATTTCAAACTTCCCTAATTAGCTAAATGGTAGTATTCTGGGGAACTTAAAAATAAAATTTTACAGAATGAACAATTATAAATTAAGCCAATAGGCTAACATCACTTCTAACAACAAAAACAAGCAAATTGAAAACTTCTCAATAAACTTATAGGTTTTAAACACTGCACAATAGTTTAAAGAAAAGAAAAATAAACTTACTCTTTTCCTTTCTGAAGATGAATCTCATCTGATCTTTGTGTTGGATTGGAAAAATAGCTGTTGGCATTTGCAGAATGATATGCAATCCTCACCTTATCCAAGAGGGGGAGAGAATTTATTAACAGATCTTTTCAATATCATCATTGTGCTCCCACGGCTATCATTTATTATTTGTCAGTCTTAGTACTTTAATGAGTAGAAAAATGTGAAACTACTCCATATTTTTCTTCTAGGATCTGCTATCCATAATGAAATGATGAAATGGAGTTTTTTAAAATTATCAAAGCTCAATTCTTTCCTTCTATCCTTAACTAACATCAACACCGTTATATCATATGCACCACACTGACCGTAGCTTTCCCACAGTTAGAATTGTGATGAAGAAAAAAAAAAAAAAAAAGATACATATGGAAGGAAAGGTCCCCGGATGATGCAAATGGTTTGTACATGACTACTAACCTAAAGGTTGGCAGTTTGAGTCTACCCAGTGGCACAGCGAAAGAAAGGCCTGACGATCTGCTACCATAAAGATTCCAGCCAATGAGTCAGAACTGACTCTGCGGCAATGGGTTTGGTTTTGGATACAGACCTAAAGTGGTTACCAGGGGTAGGAGGGAGGTAGGTGAAAAGGGGAGCTCTTTGCTTAGGAAACACGGAGATTCTGTTAAGGGTAATGGAAACATTTGGAAATGAATAGCAATAATAGTTTACAACACAATGAACACAGTGTCACTAAATTGTACATGTAGAGAAAGTTGAAATGGCAAATGTTTTTGTTACATATGTATTTACCACAATAAAAAAAGTCATCACCTAAAAAAAAAAAAAAAAAAGATTCCAGCCAAGAAAACTCTATGGAGCAGTTCTACTCTGTAACACATGGGGTCGTCATGAGTCAGAATTGACTCCACAGCAATGGGTCTGGTTTTTGTTTCATTTTGTTTTTTAAATAGGAGGAAGGTTGTTATTGGTAAATAAAATATTCTTTTATTCTGAAAGAATTTTGAGAAATTTAATCAAAATTAGGTCATGTTAACATAGGCCGGAAGGATGTGAAAGAGAGCTAAATGTGTCTGCATACTAGAGGGTGAGGACTTTGGGCTTTCTGTTAGGAATAACTATACCATCTTTAGAGCAAGCATGCTGACAAGCTATGGTAAAACTGGAATTCATATATTACAAGTAGCAATTTAAACTGAAGCCATCTTGTCATATAGATCGGGTCATAAAAATGTTCTTTTGATTTGATCTATTAGATTCACATTTGTGAAGTTGTCCGAAGGAAATAATCCTAAATACAGAAAAAATAAATAAACACAGATGCTCATGGAATTTTATTTGTGGTCAAAAAAAATTAGAAAATAAGTTAAAAACTGATCAGTAGGGAGATGGTTTTCTAAGCTTAGTAAACCCATCCAGTGATACAATACTCAGTCATTAAAAATGGTGATTATATAAATGATTTAATAAAATGTGGAAATACTAACATGTGAGAAAAGATGACTACGAAATTATATGTATGACCCCATTTATGTAAAAACTTCTACTCATTAATTACTCTATTTTCCAGATATTACAGTGAGATATTTTCTCTATTTTCCAAATTTCCTATATTGTGGTAACAATTCTTTTATAATAAAAACAAATTTTAATTTTAAAGAAAATTTATGTGTTTTTTTCCTTAGCAGAGAAAATTACAGTATGGGAAAGCATTTTATTTTAGGCCACTAGTTTTCTATGACAACTTTATAGTCCTTAACATATATATTAAAATGGTCAATAACCCAACCACATGAAATTGTATCTGATAAATTCTTTAATATATTCATTGCTTAGGTTTAGAACAAATGAGATACGTATGAAAAAGATCATATTTTTATAATATCAAATAACAGTCTGTGGCATCCCTACCTTATCATCCGGAAGTTCAGTCTGGCTGAAATAAATAGCATAACGGTCATCACCTTTGACATAGAATCTATAAACATCAGAATCCGGAGCCACCAGAAACCCACTGAAGCGTGCAACAAATGTGTCTTGATCCATGGGCCAAGTGTAGGAAGCTGAATCTACCCAACTGGCACCCATGTATCCTGGTGTATTTTCATTGTATTCAAGAATCTCTTCAAGATGTACTGGGCGGCTATTGTTCCATACCTCCAGCTTTAGGCCTCTCCCACCTAAACATAATAATAAAGAAGCCTTTTATCAGAATTACTACAGGGTGTCTCAGTGGTCTTCCACTGGTGTTGTGGTTATAGATGTTCTATTTTGGTTCACATTTTTAGACATTGTGTATAAAGAAATCAATTACACACACCCTTACATGTACCTGCACCTAGAGGACAGTATGCTGTTAGGACAGTCTACAATTTATTTACTATTACTTCACTTCTCGGAGCTTTGGGTTCCTCATATGTAACATGCAGAAATAATACTATTTGCAAGGAGCCCTGGTGGCACAGTGGTTAAAGTGCTTGGTTGCTAAACAAAAGGTCAGCATTTGGAAACTATTAAGTGGCTCAGAGGAAGAAAGATGTGGCAGTTCACTTCTGTAAAGATTTACAGCCTTGGAAATGTTATGGGGCACTTCTACTCTGTCCTATAGGGTCGTTATGAGTTGGAATCGACTTGACGACAGTGGGTGTTTTTTGGGTTTTAATACCATTTGCATGGTTGTTGTGAGAATTGGATATAATATACAATATATGTAAAACACCCAGCACATGGTAAGTACTTTCCTTATGGTAACAATAATACAATAATTGTTGTTGTTGTTGTTAGGTGCCATCAAGTCAGTTCTGACTCATAGTGACCCTATGTACAACAGAATGAAACACTGCCCAATCCTGCGCCATCCTCACAATCGTTGTTATGCTTGAGCCCATTGTTGCAGCCACTGTGTCAAACCATTCCCTTGAGGGTCTTCCTATTTTTCGCTGACCCTCTACTTTACCAAGCATGACTTACTTCTCTAGGGACTGGTCCCTCCTGATAACGTGTTCAAAGTATGTGAGACAAAGTCTCATCATTTTTTCTTTTAAGGTGCATTCTGGCTGTACTTTTTCCAAGACAGATGTTTGTTCTTCTGGGAGTCCACGGTATATTCAATATTTTTTGCCAATACCATAATTCAAAGTCATCAATTTTTCTTCAGTTCTTCCTTATTCATTGTCCAGCTTTTGCATGCATATGAGGCAACTGAAAAATACCATGGCTTGGGTATAAAACGAAAAACCAAACTGTTACCGTTGAGTCGATTCCGACTCATAGTGACCCTATAGGACAAAGTAAAACTGCCCTGTAGGGTTTCCAAGGAGTGCCTAGTGGATCTGAACTGCCAACCTTTTGGTTAGCAGCTGTAGCACTTAACCACTATGCCACCAGGGTTTCCTATGGCTTGTGTAAGGTGCACCTTAGTCCTCAAAGTAACATCTTTGCTTTTTAACACTTTAAAGAGGTCTTTTGCAGCAGATTTGCCCAATGCAATATGTTGTCTGATTTCTTGAATGCTACTTTCATGGCCGTTGACTGCAGATCCAAGTAAAACGGAATCCTTGAAAACTTCAGTATTTTCTCCATTTATCATGATGTTGCTTATTGGTCCAGTTGTGAGGATTTTTGTTTTCTTTCTGTTAAGACGTAATCCATACTGAAGGCTGTAGTCTTTGATCTTCATCAGTAAGTGCTTCAAGTCCTCTTCACTTTTAGCAAGCAAGGTTGTGTCAAATGCATAATGCAGGTTGTTAATGAGTCTTCCTCCAATCCTGATGCATCTTCTTCTTCATATAGTCCAGCTTCTCAGATTATTTGCTCAGCATACGGATTGAATAAAAATGGTGAAAGGATACAACTCTGATGCACTTCTTTCCTGACGTTAAACATGCAGAATCCCCTTGCTCTGTTTGAATGACTGCCTCTTGGTCTACGCACAGGTTCCTCATGGGCACAATTAAGTGTTCTGGAATTCCCATTCTTCGCAATGTTATCCATAATTTGTTATGATCCACACAACTAACTGAATGCCTTTGCATAGTCAATAAAACACAGGTAAGCTTTTTTTTTTGGTATTCTCTGCTTTCAGACAAGAACCATCTGACATCGGCAATGATATCCCTCATTCCCCATCCTCTTCTGAATCCAGTTTGAACTTCTGGCAGTTCCCTGTAAATGTACTGCTGCAACTTCTTTTAAATGATCTTCAGCAAAATTTTACCTGTGTGTGATATTGACGATATTGTTCAATAATTTCTACATTCTGTTGGATCATCACCTTTCTTTGGAATGGGTACAAATATGGAATACTTCTAGTCCAGGAAGTTGTCTTCCAAATTTCTTGATATAGACGAGTGAGTACCTCCAGCACTACATCCGTTTGCTGAAACATCTCAATGGGTATTCCATCAATTCCTGGAGCCTTGATTTTTGCCATTCCCTTCAGTACAGTTTGGACTTCTTCCTTCAATACCATTGATTCTTGATCATACACTACCTCCTGAAACGGCTGAATGTCAACCAATTCTTTTTGGTTCAGTGACTATGTATATTCCTTCCATCTTCTTTCGATGATTCCTGTGTCATTCAGTATTTTGCCCATAGAATCCTTCACTATTACAACTCGAGACTTGAATTTTTTCTTCAGTTCTTTCACCTTGAGAAAAACGTGTTCTTCTCTTGGTTTTCTAACCCCAGGTCTTTGCACATTTCATTATAATACTTTTCTTTTTTCCTCAAGCCAACCTTTGAAATCTTCTGTTCAGCTGTTTTACATGATCATTTCTTCTGCTTGCTTTAGGCACTCTGTTCAAGAGCAAGTTTCAGAGGATCTTCTGACATCCATTTTTGTTTTTGTTTTTCTTTTCTGTCTTTTTAATGACTTTTCACATTCTTCATGTGTGATATCCTTGGTGTCATTCCACAACTTGTCTGGTTTTTGGTCATTAGTGTTCAATGCGTCAAATCTATCTTTGAGATGGTCTCTTAATTCAGGTGGGATATACTCAAGGTCATACTTTGACTCTCGTGGGCTTGCTCTAAGTTTCTTCAGCTTCAGCATGAACTTCCATATGAGCAATTGATGGTCTGTTCCAGTCAGCCCCTGGCATTGTTCTGACTGATGAACTTTTCCATCGTCTTTTTTCCACAGATGTAGTTGATTTGATTCCTGTGTATTCCAACTGGTGGGGTCCACGTGTATAGTCACCATTTATGCTGGTGAAAAAAGGTATTTGCAGTGAAGAAGCTGTGGATCTTGAAAAATTCTACCATGTGATCTCCAGCGTCATTTCTATCACCAAGGCTATATGTTCCAACTACCAATCCTTCTTCTTTGTTTCTAACTCTCACATTCCAATCACTAGTAATTATCAGTGCATCTGATTGCATGCTTGATCAATTTCAAACTGCAGAAGTTGGTAAAAATCTTCAATCTTCTCATCTTTTGCATTAGTGGTTGGTGCACAAATTTGAAGAATAGTCGTATTAACTGGACTTCCTTGTAGGTGTATTTATATTATCCTATCACTGACAGCACTTTACTTCAGAATAGATCTTGCAATGTTGCCATTCCTCTTCAATTTGTCATTCCCAGCATAGTATACCATATGATTGTCCAGTTCAAAATGGCCAATAGCAGTTGATTTTAGCTCATTAATGCCTAGGATACCAATTTTATGGGGTCCATTTCATTTTTGACAACTTCCAATTTTCCTAGATTCATACTTCATACACTCCAGGTTCCGATTATTAATGGATGTTTGCAGCTGTTTCTTCTCATTTTGAGTCCTGCCACATTAGCAAATGAAGGTCCTGAAAGCTTGACTCCATCCACATTACTTTGAGGAAGCAGCTCCTCCCCAGTCGTATTTTGAGTACTTTCCAACCTGAGGGGCTCATCTTCTAGCACTATACATGACAACATTATGCTGCTATTCATAAGGTTTTCAGTGGCCAATTTTTTCAGAAGTAGACTGCCAGGTCCTTCTTCCTAGTCTGTCTTAGTCTGGAAGCTCCGCTGAAACCTGTCCACCATGGGTGACCCTGCTAGCATTTGAAATACCGGTGGCATATCTTCCCACATCACAGCAACATGCAAGCTACTGCACTATGACAATAATTATTACTTATGATATACCTGATGTTGTTTTACATAGTTAAATCTCAAGACTTCAAAATTCAGACCATTTGATTACAAAACCTATGCCTTGACTATTCTAACAAAAGTTACTCAATTAATGGCTTACAACTAATCAAAAGAGCAGCCACTCATGGCTTTAAGATTTCTGCCTGTAGTTCTCTTTCTTCTTCCTTTTTCTTTTTAAAAAACATTCTCTCTGTTCTAACATTTCATCTCCTTCTTGGACAGAATCAAAGAAAAAATATTTTCATTACACTTGTACCTACCTGTGCCAGCACACACCCTGTGGCGAACTTTTTAGTCTAGTCAGAAAGGAGCCAGCTCCCGTCCCATCCTCCCCTTTTTTTTTTCTTCTAAAAATACAACAATCGGGCTCATGGCTTCTTCCAGTAGCTTAAAGCTTGTCTAAATCTGGAATACAATGTTTACTCCTCTTCAGCTGAGTTTAGTTAGAGAAGAAGCTTCAGTACTTCAACCTTTTATGACCTCAGTGTTCTTAAACTGAAGTTTTTTTTTCTAATATCAGTCGAAACAAAGAAATTTAAGAGGTTGGTAAACAATTTACTTTGCTTCAAATACCAGCCAACATTACAGTTCTTGAAACTGGACAAGGCTCAAGAATTTTAAATATTTCTTCTCACTGACGAACAGTTTGGAGTAGGGGGTGGGGAGAACTTGAACACGTGACAGGAGAGAAGGGGGCCCATTCTCTATAGGGTCCTGGTGTTCTAGTCCTATGCCATGCTTGGGCTTTCTTTTTCTCTAGGGGTGGGAGGAACACTGAATTTCTCCCTAACCTTCCCGTGAGGACTAAGGTCAGTAGTGTTATACATTTTTAACACTTTTTATTTATTTGTTTTATTGTACTTTAGATGAAGGTTCACAGAACAGTTTCTCATTAAACAGTTAGTACACATATTATTTTATGACAATGGTTAACAACCCCACGACATGTCAACACACTCCCTTCTCAATCTTGGGTACCCTATTACAAGCTTTCCCGTCCCCTCCTGCTTTCTAGTCCTTGTCCCTGGGCTGTTGTGC